CATATAACAGAAATACTTCCAAATATCACAAAGATGCTGTACAGAGCAACAAGTCAGCAGATACACAAGTGTGTGCTTAATAATGTGTAGAAGACAGCAAGGCACATACCGATCACCAAGGCATCACACATGGCCTTAAGGCTCTCCGTAGATTAACAAACAGGCTCTCTCTAGATTAGTAAACAGAAAGTCTCTAGATAAGTAAACAGACTGTCTCTGGATTAGTAAACAAACACATTTAATAAATATTTCCATATAAATTGCTCCATGACTGAGATCTTTAATAATTTAATATCCAATTGTTAACATGCGACATCATATTAATAGAACATAATTAAAAAAACATATAGGCTTTTGCAAAAAGTCAGTCTGGTTATCAGGATGTATAATATAGCTATGCGATAAATCGCAGAGAACAATGAAGACCAAAGCATGGTTTACTACACGATAAAACATTGTTTTATCATGATATCATTTCTGGAAATTCGACCATGCGCTCTCAACTTGATGACGTCGTAAAATGGACGACGTTATTTTTTAGAGGGATGTGTCCAGTGAGTTGTTCCCAATAGATGTAGCTGGACAGCACAGATGAACGCAATCCCACCCAAAAGTGGGAGAGATATGACAATCAGTATCAACCAACCAAGTGCTTATTTGGCAGACATATATATATATTAAAATCTGTCACATACAAGTTCATTGAATCTAGTAACATCTACAGCTATCTAGTAACTCACTATTAAGGAATACATATATCTTTCATCCTCTATAATTCAAGCATAGACCTTCCAAGCATTTTGTAAACTGGGAAGAACCCCAATTGAAAATAAATAGAATTATTTGTATATCACATGCTCTTTACTGTTCATAAAATAAAATGAATGTCCTGCAAGTGCAGGTTCATTTGTTGTATATAATAAATACGAGGATGGTAAAAGTGAGGCACAATGGACGTGTGGACATTACAGCGGACGGATGAAAACACAAATCTCCATACACAAAATATGGAATACAAACAGTGTGAATAAGATCACAGAAATACTGTATCATATATAAATATTGAGATCTTATACTCACATAGAAACTACATAAGGCCAGACTACTCCTTCTTATGAGTACAGCTACTCTAAATTTTGCAACACAATAGAAAAATGAAAACATATTTTCAACTGAAAATATTCTTATGATGGACAGTTACATGTTATAAATTTTGTTTTAACATTTAATTTAAGAGCTTACTTATGGGGTAATAAATATGAAACAAACAGCCTTTTAATCTCTTTCAAAATAATATCAAATCTTCTTACATTTTCAATGACATGTCATGTACATATTTACATGCTCTTCTCTCGAGCATTGGCCTTAGAAACATAGTACAGTCAAGTCTCGTTAATCCGACAATCGTTAATCCGAAATCGTCTTTATCCGACACAAATGATGGGAACCGATTAAATCAGTGCTATTTAGACCCGTTAATCCGACAGTTTCACACTCTGACTCTGACATACCTAATATGCAACAATTTACCGAAATCACTCATTAATCAGTCTCGTTAATCCAACACCGTGATCAGTGTACTCTATGGTCATCTGCCCGCGAGTACACAGTCTGTGTTTTATTGTGAGACGAGTCGGCTGGTAGCTGCATATTACAACGGCTGCAGAGATAAACTTGCTTAACAATAAACAATTAAGGCTTTAAGTAAAGAAAACAGGATTAATCACATGCTTAGATTACCTCAATCGCATTAAAATCAGATACAAGTTCTCGCTATCGCCGAGGACATCCCATTACAGGTCACGTGAGAACAACCTTTCGCAAACTATTTCCAACCAATGAAATGACTAACAGGAAGTCATATACAACCAACCATGTCGGATTAACGGGACTTGACTGTGTAAGAAATAAACTAAGTCTGATTAGAAGCATGTCAAGGTAAAATCCCATAGTTGTAGTCACACAATTTCAAAATATAGAGAAATATTGTGAAATTGTTCTGACATAAAACTTGTAAAATTCAACAGTTGTATGTATACTGGCTGGGTATAGAGGCATAGTTTGTTGCACACATCACAGAGGGGAGGCCAGCAGTGGAGGGGTTATCATCAAACAGCAGAATAAACATGATAAACATCAACATAAATACAGTGTATACAGTTCATAGAGACAGAAGCTCCTACTTTGTGTGAAGTGTTTACTCTGAGGCCAGCAAGTCACGCCTTCCCTGTCAGCACACAGCAGCAGATTGTGTCAGTATTAGCAGCATCTGTCCATATCAGAGAAGCGGGGGAGGGCAGGCACAATCTCCTGATTTGTTAAACATCCCATAAAAAAACCTGCTGTGTAAGCTGACAGATATAGTTCCCTTCTTAATTGTCAGATATTCTATATACAACCATACAGAACAGATCACAGTACAACGTTCATACAGAAATTGAATTCCCAAACATGATTTTTTAAGGCTTAAATAAGCAGTTTATTTGTTAGCAGTAGTGTTACTTAGAATGTAGGTGCAGAAACAGTCTGTCATACAGACTCTGAAACAAATATATCCAAATACAGCCCATGCAAGTCTACAATAGTTGGCAAGTCTAGATTACTGCAGTTTCTGGGTCTGCACAATTCTGCCTAAAATGAAGAAAGTATTGGGGCTCTTTGATTATATTTGATTAAGATAATTTAAATGGGTTTTGAAGAAGGGTAAAAGTGCAAAATCATCAGTTTCTCCATGGTTTGCCAATTTGACAATGGGTATTTATACAGAAATAGTAATATCTGGCTGTAATTTAAATTTGACATTCTTGGAATTAAATTATAAATGCCAAATTCAAGGCTGTTTTAAGTCTAAAGATTTATTCTTAAGGCCCTTTCATAAAAAGGCATTCCAAGTTACGACTGTTATGAACCATGTACTAGTCAAAGACATTAGTGCATCCCACTAGTTGCAGATCAATGTAAATATGATAAGGTGCTGTGATAATATCAAATGCATGTGTGTGTATACTAAACACCTGAATTTACATAACACACTCAAAACACAGCTGGATATTGCAGGAGGTTATAGCTTCAATATCCTGTATGATAAAAATGTTCAGACAGAACATATGCATCTGTATTCTTCTAATATTACAACACTATTTTCACTGATGCAAAATATGTCACTTCAGCCAAGTCAAATGTGCTCCACTAAGTATGTCATATGACAAAGAAAATAATGTTCTGGTTTCTTTATGATCAAATTTCCTCTGAAAAATGACAAATCTGAAGATTGAACAAAAAAGTGCCTGACTGTTTTATGGTTTTATGATACTAATGCTACAACTTCTTGAAATAACCAAAATTCAAAAAGATCTTGCGATACTATTTAACATAAAGGATTAAAATGACTGAAATCTGACACAAAAACATCCTTACGTCTTGACTCTGAGTGTTTATATACCAAACAAAACAAGTTATATTATTCTGAAATTTTCTGTTTCCACTACCAAAAAATACCCCCAACAATTCATGATCCCTAACGTTTTTTGTTCTGTATAGTTGACCAACATGGGGAGCCCTCATTGCTATCCATCCCCAAGCTGCTACGTTTACTGTGTGCTTACATCTCTTGTAGGCTTTGACTGAGGTATTTTTCCAATTGCACAATATCTATCATAAGTCTAGTTCTAAAATGCTTCTAGAAGAATCAAAATGAATTTTTGCACCAATCACCATGACTGTTTACGTGCATAGTATGTTTAGATAAATAAATGTGTAACAAAATATCTCTGAATGAACTGAAACAATTCTTGAAAAGGCAACTTGCCAAAAGAAGTCCCCCGAAGACTGGCATACTACCGGTAATAATAACACTACATAATGATCCATAGTTCAAAACAAGTGAAGTGTTGATAGTGCTGTTACAGATAATGCCGGGATAAAAAATATATTGTCTTAAATGAAATATATAAAAAAAACAATGTGTGATAACAAAGCCTCACTGGACTATATCCACATCTGAATGAGACTTGAAAATGAGGAAACTTAAAACACATGTTAGGCTAAAAAGAAAATAGTCTTGGTTCACAGGCACTGCCCGCATCATCATAAAGTCTGTGCATCTTTTGATTATATTTCCATTTTTTAAAAATAATAAAATCTTTAAATATTCTGCGTCTTGAACACACGATCCCGGCAGTTAAATGCTAGTATATTTAAGAACAACATGATTTTCCCGAAATTATTGCAAAAAAACTTTGGATACAAACTAGCTTGAACAACCAACAAAAAAAACACCACTGCCCACCCGCCCAATAATTTCAAAAGCCATTGTCTGAGAACCAATTCTATTATTTTTTTATTAAGCCTTACCTTATCCATCATATTTTGGCACAAACTATGTCATGCTTATTACATTTTCGTTTTCTCCTTTAAACCATAAACATTCATACCATACTGATGAAACATGTTGGCACAAGAGTCATTATATTTGACAGATGTTCACAGACAGTGACATGATGTAAAAACACTAATAAATACAGCCCATCCAGAAAGACTGTTGTCAATAAAATCCATCTGAAAGAGACAAATATAGTTCAACACTCAGGACAGTTACAATCGCCATGCTGTAAAGTAGGCATGGTCAGGCCAACAAATAAAACAATTGATTCTCATGCAAAACCTTTCAAATGTTGGGGGCTTCTGTTTGAGTGTGAAAAGTTGTGTGCCACCAAGGGGAGGTGAATTCAGGGTATTGAGTGAGTGAGTGAGTTGGGTTTAACGCCCCTTTTAACAGTATTCCAGTTATATCGCGGCGTGTCAGCTTAATGTTGGAGGAAAGCCTGAAGTGATGCAGGTCTCAAACGTTTACCACTTCGGTGAAACCCACGAGCACTTGTATGGTGCTGACAAACCTAGAAACATAATCAGGGCGAACCGGGATTCGAACCCATAATCATAGGTTTCTGGCGTGCCCAAGGAATGCAACTCTGCACAGCGAATCGCAGCGCCTTAGACAACTGGGCCACCCCTGCCGCCATTCAGGGTATTGAAAAGTGACACTACCGAAGTCAGGAAGGGTCTCACACAGGCAGACGTAAGGTGCCTGACAAAAGGATAATGCGCAACCCCCATCCCCCTCTGATCCGGCGGTGAAAAGGGTTAGAACTTGTACTTTTTGTCTTATGTTAATACAAAATATATCACTATATGACTTCAGCCACAAGTCCTTGGCCCTAGTCAAGTAAAATTTCTTTTAGTCTAGTAAGCTTTGCTAATAAAACTCCATATATTTTCACTAAGATCTAATGTAAATAATGTCAAGTGACATGGGCAGCCAGTAGACTCAAAAGTTTTGGGAACAGACTGTGATACTGACTTGCCGTTGCATGAGAACCAAAATTATTTGTTTTTAAAGCCTTAGAATAAAACAGAGTACCAACAATGACAGCTTAAAACATACAATGTATATCACTGAGAATATTCTCTGAAGAATAACAAATCTGGTATAATATAATCTGCACAAAAGATATATCTAACAATGTGACTGTGTCCAAATACAGCACACATAAGGCAAAGGGTTCATTTATCACAGTCAGGGCATAGCAGTTGTAATATACTAAAATACTACATGGGGATCTATGGTCTATATATCAATTCAACTATTGCTTGAACTGTCAGTCTAAAAATCTTCATCCGATGTTCTGTGTGTTGTACCCCCCTGACCATCATCATCATCAGCATCATAATCATCTTCATAATCATCATCATCGTCTTCCGCCACTTCAGCATTCCCAGGGGTTTTGTCATCCAGCTTGGCTTTAAAGGAATTGTTGACGGTAATGGATTCTTCATTCTTTATGAGAAGGCCTGTATTGGCATTAGCCTTTATTGCTTCTGTCACATCCACAGTTATCTGCCCTTCTTCACCTTGACTTGCAACCTTTATAACCTCAGCCTTGTGGAGCTCTGGCAGGCGTTTCTCCTCTTGTCGGGGCGTGCGGCGACGTCGAGCGGGTACCGGGGCTTTGGTGGAGTGAGATGGCGATGATACAAGTGAGGAATCCGGTTCTGACTGCATCTCGCCTGGCGATGTGACCCCATTAATCTGCTCCCCTCTTGATGACATCCTGTCACTCACATCCACCTCACTGACAGATCTACTTGCTCCTTCATTGTCATGGGTGGTCATTGTCTTCTCGTATCGCTCCAGCACCTGGGTGGCCGTCATCTCATCAGTCTCACCCAAACCCACATCCGACTGTTTCCCTTCAGATTTCAAGTCACTCACTTCTGATCTTACTTCACCCAACTGGTATCTAGTTTCTCCAAACTCTGACCTTTTCTCCCCAATAGTTGACCTTGACGCACTGGCCAGTGACCTTCTATCACTCATCTCCGATCTTGTGTCCCCAAGCTGGGGTCTTGTTTCTGACCTTCTGTCCCCGATAGTTGACCTTGATTCACTGACCAATGACCTTCTGTCGGCAATGTCAGATCTTGCTTCACTAGCTTGTGACCCTCTCCTGTGGTGGGACCTCACAGTACTGAATGCCTCTCCAGTACTGTCAAAGTTCAATGTGTTTGTTGAAGAATGAGTGCCATCTATATCCTCAGCAGGTTTATCCTGCCTGGCAAGTCGGGCTGCTCTCACTTCTGGGTCTGGCTCTAACATGTTCACAGTCCTCTCACACTCATCTTCCTCCTCGAAGGGTTCAGGACTATCAGATATGCCAAAATCTGTGCGTAGTTTGTCCAGGATAGCCCGCATTCGAGACTGAAAATAACAAGCTGATTGTATATTGTTTCTTTGTCAACAGTGGCATAATATTATTCAAATCCAGAGACGTTATGATATCCTCATTTTCTATGGTAAATTTTATTGTTTCTCCTGTCAGTCAAATTATTGTAACGTTTATTGTAAATTATTGTATCGTTATTTAAAGATTCTACATGACCAGGTGAGCTTCAGTGCATCACATGACCATCACTACTCACAATCTTTAGCTTTCCTTTGTGTTTCTCTACATGCCTGTCAAACACCTTCTTCAATACCCTGTAAAAGAAAACAGGACACACTGAATGACAGTGACAATAAGATTAATCATCAACATTCTGGAAACCTTTCTCTGTCCATAGATGCCCATGTTTGTCTCCCACAATGTCATCTACATTGGTGTCTCTGTTCAGTAGAGGTTCCACCCTGAACCATTTCACTGTTAAGATACCCCTGTTCAGTACACCTGTAACTCTGAACCCACCTGTCGGTGTAGATACCCCTGTTCAGTACACCTGTAACTCTGAACCCACCCTGTAGATACCCCTGTTCAGTACACCTGTAACTCTGAACCCACCTGTCGGTGTAGATACCCCTGTTCAGTACACCTGTAACTCTGAACCCACCTGTCGGTGCAGATAGCCCTGTTCAGTACACCTGTAACTCTGAACCCACCTGACGGTGCAGATACCCCTGTTCAGTACACCTGTAACTCTGAACCCACCTGTCGGTGTAGATACCCTGTTCAGTACACCTGTAACTCTGAACCCACCTGTTGGTGCAGATAGCCCTGTTCAGTACACCTGTAACTCTGAACCCACCTGTCTGTGTAGATACCCCTGTTCAGTACACCTGTAACTCTGAACCCACCTGTCTGTGTAGAAACCCCTGTACAGTACACCTGTAACTCTGAACCCACCTGTCTGTGTAGATACCCCTGTTCAGTACACCTGTAACTCTGAACCCACCTGTCGGTGCAGATAGCCCTGTTCAGTACACCTGTAACTCTGAACCCACCTGTCGGTGTAGATACCCCTGTTCAGTACACCTGTTACTCTGGACCCACCCTGTAGATACCCCATGTTCAGTACACCTGTAACTCTGAACCCACCTGTCAGTGTAGATACCCCTGTTCAGTACACCTGTAACTCCAAACCCACCTGTCAGTGTAGATACCCCTGTTCAGTACACCTGTAACTCCAAACCCACCTGTCTGTGTAGATACCCCTGTTCAGTACACCTGTAACTCTGGACCCACCCTGTAGATACCCCATGTTCAGTACACCTGTAACTCCAAACCCACCTGTCGGTGTAGATACCCCTGTTCAGTACACCTGTAACTCCAAACCCACCTGTCAGTGTAGATACCCCTGTTCATTACACCTGTAACTCTGAAACCACCTGTCGGTGTAGATACCCCTGTTCAGTACACCTGTAACTCTGAACCCACCTGTCAGTGTAGATACCCCTGTTCAGAACCTCCTCTGTGACCTGTTTAGCAAACAGCACATACTGTTGTTCGTCTTCCCTGTAGAAGAAAAAAAATGTCATCACATTACAATTTCGTACAATACATTGCAAAAACACCTCACAGCAATAAATGGGGCTATATCAGACATTTTATGAGAGTATTTTTCCTACCAGACAATTGGCAGGACAGAAATTAAATTTATCCAGATCTTTCAAATCTTTTTTTCTTTACCACATTTGAACTTAATCCTTGTTTGAACATATCAAAGATAAAAGCATGGACATAACTGAATTACTTCCCTTGTTATGTTGTCAGATATGTAGATACATGATAAACTGCATTTGCATGAAATTATGAATGCCTGGAAAATACATTGAACATCTCGTCAAGAAGTTAGTGCCAGGTGACAGCCAGGTCAAAGATGCCATTTCTCTGGCTTTGCTATTTTCTGCATTATCAGCCATAGGGTCTGACAGATTTTTCTGTTTACTAATAAAGTATCTAGTAGGGCTGGGACGGGTAACTCGGGTACCCGGGTCGAGTTGGTACTAAGTAGGACCCGGGTACCCACAGGACTACCCGGACCCGTGGTTAGTCACGTGATATATTGTTTAATGACATAAAGTATCTAGAACTCTATGGTTTCACTACAAGTCACTAATCCTTTCTTTTCTTTCTGACTATGCACCCATTCCTTCTGACTTTTCATATCTTTGAATGATATAACTTAGGTCAACTTCAGTGTATGCATGACCAGATTGTTTAATACATGTATCTAAATACGTTTTGCCAGTGCTATGTTAAAAAGTGCCCAATCGGACATTTTGTACCTATCTCTTTAGACCTGCAATGGGTACCGAGGTAGGGTGGGGTAATAGGGGGATGGGTACCAGGCTAGTAAATTCGGACTCGCCCCATTCCTAGTATCTAGTATCTAGTATTCAAGTATTCAGGTGGTAGTTGTATCATGTGTTACAGCTGACAAGGTGTTGGCTGTATCATGTACTACAGCCAGGTGTGCAAGGCACGAAACCAATTAGGTGACAGTTGAATCAGGTAGTACAGCCAATCAGGTGACAGCTGTATCAAGTATTGAATCAGGTAGTACAGCCAATCAGGTGACAGCTGTGTCAAGTATTCAATCAGGTTGTTCAGCCAATCAGGTGATAGCTGTGTCAAGTACTACAGCCAATGAGACGGCAGCTGTATCAAGTACTAAAGCCAATCAGGTGACGACTGTATCAAGTACTACAGCCAATCAGGTGACAGCTGTACCAAGTACTATGGCCAATCAGGTGACAGCAGTATCAAGTACTACAGCCAATGAGATGGCAGTTGTATCAAGTACTACAGCCAATCAGGTGACGGCTGTATCAAGTACTACAGCCAATCAGGTGACAACGAACTACATTAAGTCTGCACTGACAAACTAAAGCTATTACAATACGTTTGATCAAATCTGGTAGTATCAATGGTATTGATGTTTTGGAATGATATACAGAAATCAGCCAGTCAGTGACACTTCAATGTGACAGCTGACTTCCGACAACTTTTCTCCAGCTAGAGCCTACTTCCTACACTGACTGAGTGAATGAATGACGTTTTATGCCCCTGTCAGTAATATTCCAGGAATTAGGCTTGACGGCCTACCCATGTTTCACATCAAGTAGACAATGTTGACAACACTGATGTTGTTTGTTTTATAGTAATAGACAACAATTGATAAATGGTAATAATAAAAAAGTATTTATTCAGTCTATTTCTGTGTGAAGATTATTACAATATATATGTCTATGTCATAGATGCCACCAAAACAGCCTTGCATGTTAGCATCTGTTTCGGCTTGAAGACAAAATATGTACACTGTGACATCATGCTAGCACACTTCCCGTATGTGACATTCACTTGGTACAAAGTGTGACTTGCCTCTCAGATAAATAAGTGGCACCTTCTCAAGTGGATGGAATATTATACAACACAAGTCTATCAAACAATCGGGAAGAAACTACTTATCTGACGAAACTCATCGGAGATTGGAAGCAAGTTGTAAAGTGTTTACTTATAAAACCCAGTTTTGGACTTAACGATTGTAATTTCTACGAGGAAGACCAAGATATAGACTTCTGAATATGAACCGTTTTCAGAGAGAACTGGCATTAATATCAAAACTTATGAGGAAGATCAATGTAATTCATTGTTCATGAAGGATTTTGATTTTGTGAGACAAATGCTGCTAGGTATAGAACAGTGACCACTTCTAGTGTTAAACAGGGCTGTAATGACATACTGCCTTGAAATGATGCACAGCTGATACTGAGGTCACCATGGACAAGATACATGAAAACTTGACACATCTCAAGCTCAAAGCAGTCTTTCAAAGAGTATTAATGGCCAGAGTATGTGGAGATGGAACCAAAACATTTTACCAAACTTCCATCAAATAAACTACAAATAGTTTCATAACTCTCACACATTCATAAAACAGTATGAAAAGATGCCCATACCATCAGTATATGTTTCATATGATGCATGACCCCATGATACTTGCAATTAACCAATACTTCATTACAGTCCTTGTGTTACAAAAATCAAATGTTTGTTTAGAAAACAGAAGGACGTTATTACAGAAAAAGTATGTACAGAAAAAAAAAGAATAGTACCATATGAAACTTGGAATGTAACACGCACTCCGCAGCATCAGTGAGTCACACACGGAAACCACAGCATCACAAGTTGGTTTGTTATTATTCAATGTTTCTTTTTCAAATGATAAACAAATGTTCAGGGTTTGTATAGCATTTAAAAACCTTTGCATTCTACCTCAAATAAATCAAGTTTTCTCCCAAATCTCAATGAAGGCACTTTGATTGTTTCCTATGTTTTTCAGTAAAAACAGTTCAACATTTAAACTGTGTCCTGCGAACCAAAACAAACAGATAAGTAACTGACTAGATAGTTGTGACAATAGAGTGAGTGAGTGAGTGAGTTGGGCTTAATGCCGCTTTTAACAGTATTCCAGTTATATCACGGGGTGTCAGCTTAATGTGTGAGGAAAGCCTGAAGTGATGCAGGTCTCAGACGTTTACCACTTCGGTGAAACCCACGAGCACGGGTATGGTGTTGACAAACCTAGAAACATAATCGGGGTGAAACGGGATTCGAACCCACAATCATAGATTTCTGGCATGCCCAAGGGACGCAACTCTGCACAGAGAATAGCGGTGCCTTAGACAACTGGGCCACCCGTGCCCCCCTGTGACAATAGAGCGCAGACTACAATTTTGCACCTTCATATAACAAATGTTAAACAACAAAAATAATGCAACTGCACTGTAGCGTGCTTTCAGGCCAGGTAAGCTCAAAACTTGTTCAGAAAAAATAACTTCCTAACCTATGCTACATAGATCCTTTACTTTGACAGATGTATTGCCAGACAAGTCAAATGAGATACACGACCTGTATACCACATGCACTTTACTTGACAGGAATGATGTAGCCAAAGGTTTGAATGTTCATGTGTTGGAACTGAATGATGAATCATTATGATTGTTTTATTTTTCAACAGATCAGTCACTGATTACAATTGTTTACATTGTATGTATTTTCCAGCAAGTTGAGCTACTACACGTCAGAAACACTGTGATTATATCTTGATAAACATAATTTGAAGTTTCTGAAATATAAGAATGTCCTTTTCATGTTGTTGCTTGCATATTACCAGTGAGTATTTCAATGTATTTTTATGCACACATTTAATGCACATTCTACAATGAATTTGGATTGGTCAATCAGAGGTATCAAATCACAATAAACCCCCTCTGATTGAAAAGGCTGCTTTGACGGCTGCATCACCACGAAAGCTAATATTTTTAGAATAGTTCTTCTTTTACAGACATTGTCGGTAGGCATAATTATAAGCACAATGATAGGCTACAAAATGCAAACTTGTGGTAGCTACAATGTTCAAAGGATGACTGGCACTAAATGTAGCATTTGAAACCTCACGCTGCACATTCAGTTCCAAATTCAATTTAGCACAGTTAAATCTACAGGTAACCTAGCTCTACATTGAAAACACAGTATGTTCATCTCCTAAGTAGACTATCTGAAATAATAATTTAACACAGGGATATTTTACTAGTCAGTAGATTATGGCACATATACTAATGACTGCATCAGTACAGGTAACAAGACTATATAATATTTGTTCATCAGAACCCCAAAAGTTTATATTTACATCTACTAAGACATGTTCAAGCAGAAAGAATAAACTCACCGAACAAAATCAAGCAAATAAAATATTTCACAACAACTTCCAATGTAAAACCTGCAGTCACGGGAATCAGAAAGCCTATGTGGATGCTACTGATGCTACAGCGAGATGCAAGGTAGGGTGTGGATGAGGGGGAGGACCGTGCTCAGCTTGAAGCAGTATTGCAGTATCAGAAAGGTTTAGATGTACTCACGCTTCACTCATTCTCTGCCTGTTCAAAGACTTAGTGCCAAACGACCTGCCAAGTAGAGAAAATAGCTTCAGCTTCAGCAGCAAACATTACCATTGGAAGAATAAGCTATTTTGAAAGCAGACTTTTTTGGCAATTTCAAGACAATTTCAGTGTGTTACACAGGCTATGCTGAACCCACAATTCTGCAAGTTTTACTGATGATTGAATTTGTCAATCAATATCATCTTTTCAATGACATACCTTTTTTTATCCATATATAAAATAATATACTCAACAACCTATAAGAAATGGATCATAACATATACATACACAGGGCATATCACATACAGCAATAAATATCACAAGTGACATAGCTATTAAAATATCAAAGAAAAGGTGCTAGAACATATTAATCTTACAGCTTGTTCTAATTGTTCTAAATGAATACATTTCTAAACTAAAAAACGACAGAGAAATGAATTAAACTTAAGTCATTAAGTATTCACATGATTTAAATGTTAATTTTCCAAGGCCACAAATACGTCTTCATATCACATATCTCGGAGAATTTACTCACTACACACTAAAACAAGAAATCATTGAGTCACCGAACTTTTCCTAACATTCAGGTATTCATAAGCAATTGCAATATTTAATTTAAATTTGAGCCACAAAAACTAAAAATATCATGATATATTATCATTTCATAAATAAAAACAATGTTTAGATGCCAGGAACTAAAGCTAAAACTACTCCACCACAATATGTCACAAAAGTCAACAGAAGTGCATTACTTAGTAAGTCTAGCACTGCCAGATGATGTTCGCATAGCGCCATTAACAGGAGGCTGTTCAGTTTCATCAATCTGATCCATCGGAGTCTTCATCCCATTGTTCATCCGGATCTGTGCCTTGCTAGCTTGTTCCTGGAGCCAATTCATGTGATCCTTGTCCACCGATATGTCCAGCTTCGGCACCCCATCCTTCTCCCCTTGGTGGCGGTTGAAGTCTCGACTCTGTAGCGTCTCGTACATCAGCTGGCTCTCTGACAATGTCTGTGTCCCCGTCCTGTTCAGGGTACCTGTGCCCCGGGGCTTGGGCTTGGGGCGACACTCCCTCTCTGTCATCTGCATAGCCTGTCTGCCGGTTTGCTCCATGTCGTCATGTCTATGACTTGGCTTCTTTGGGGGCGGATTGTAATACTTGTACTCGCTCAGACGAGACTGGCGGTTCGATTTGAGAGTTCGTGGGGTGAAAGGTTTCTCAGGCTCTGTGAATACATGGGAGCGTTTTTGTAAGAGATCTCCATCTGTGGCCTTCTTGGGATTGCCCATGAGACTGGTTCGAGATCCATTGCTCAGCATGGAGTGGGTGGATCTCACAGAGGAAGGGCGTTTCTCTGGTCTGTAGTAGGTCTGTAGATCATTGGCTTGAACCTGGTCCTGGTATCTGATGGTCTTGTTAAAGCCGCCAGGGGACTGTCCACGGGGTCGTTGGCCTGACCCGTACGTGGCGTCGGCACTCGCAGGGTAGTTTTCTCTCAGGGTTGTTCTCATGATGTCATACACCAGTCTCTCATCATCATCCTCGGGATCATCCTAAAAGCAGAAAAGACATGTATATGAGATTATTGGAAATTTTAGAATAAATTGTATAGTTATATACTTATCCTATTTCACACTTTGCATATCTTCTTCTTCTTCGACCCTATGTGGAAACGCGCTTGAACTATGTTTCCAGCACCTAAAACAAAGACATTCACCTAAACACACCCCAGCATCTCTATGGTTACGACCAACAACTGGTTCAAATATGTGTTCCCTATCCTATCCCATCTCATCCTATCTGTATACTCCATGGCCTATTTGATGTGGGCTCTTCCCCTCAGTTGGTGTTTCCCCACTGTATCCCACTGGCCTGTTTTGTTGTGTAGAGATCCTATCTCACACTTTGACATTGATCCCACGTTGTAACAACGGTGGGTCTTGGCACCCTAGCCTGTATAGACTACAACCGTGAGAAGTACACGAGGGAGCTGGATCTAAACGGTGTAATAGGTTAGTTTAAAACACTGAAAGACATGAACTTGTGAGTGGGAAAAAACCCCACAATCAATCAGTGCTGACAATCCTGATATGTTAATTGAACGAAACAGCATGAGAATACATGCTGAATGTGTTTTGACATATGTCATCATTCATAGAAAAACCTCATAGCTATAAAAGCATAGGTGATACAGCTGATGACTTAAATCAATTCTGGAACGGTATCGATTCTTCAAACAGAGCGTAGCACTATCTTCCACCGACAATAGGGTGTGACTGTTCGGTATCGCATTTAACACTTCGTCAAGGTTGGAGTGTATTTGAGTGCATGAACCGAACCAGGACGCAAAGAGGAACTAACGACAACATCCACAAGAACCATAACCCTACATCAATGCTCAAGGCAGAGGTGAGCGGGATAAAGTTTCGGGACACTGCTCTATATTAAGGAACAGCCACGCCTTATGGCGACTTCGAAGTTGAAGACTACAAGTCCCTTTAAGAGGGACATAATCTGGGATACCCAAACAATAAACAAAAACCTCAACCCCAAAGTGAATGCTCGAAGATGTATTACGTATATACATTTGTAAAACAAAGCAAGGACTGCGTTTGCTGGGGTGTGACAGTTGCTGTGCCAAAACCAAAGGGCAGAACTTGCGGAGACCCTGGACATCTGTGACAGAGATGTCATGAAGGTAATGAAAGACGAAAACTGCACCCTTCCATGATCGCGTGTATATCACTAATGTTGCAGTAGCCAAGGCCACGAGAAACACAGTCTCCAGTGTGATCGTCTTGAAGTCTTTATCCACCAGTGGCTCACAATCACTGGAAGTCAAATGTTGCAGGATGATGTTGAGGTGCCACGCAAGGATTGATCCATCATTTTGTAGGAGCAGATGAGCGATTGGAGTTCCGCAGCAGTGGAGACATTTGAGGTAGTGGCTTTAAGCTTACGTGTAGATCGCGGGTGATGTAAATACTCAATGATCTGTTGAGGTGAAGCCGAAGTAGGAGTAGAAATGTCAGGAGTGCGAAAGTAATTCTCAAGGCTGTACAATTGTCATACCAAAGATGAGTGGTAGACGAACGTTGAGCTGCAGGGAGAGCCTTTGCTACCTGCTTGGAGTAGCCTTAAGCGACAAGGGACTTCTGCCGAAGCGTCAAAAGTATAGATGGAGTGTTGGAGCCACTGAGAGATAAGTGGAGCAGGAACAGGAGATGATGGTCTGTCGGAGATCCTTAGCAAGGTGGAGAAACAGTTGCGAGTCAGAAACAAGCGACAATTGGCTTCTACCTTTTGCAGAACCCATGGAAGAACACCTGTCGGAGGTAGGGCGTAGGCATCAAGACTGTTAAACTGGATTGAGAACCAATTGTGATCCCAAGGCTCGGTTGAGGTGTCAACGAACAGATGAAGGTGTAGCACCTGGAGTCTAAGCAGCACTGACCGTGACAATCACAACAAAGAGTGTGAGTATGCCCCCACCCATTGTCGCAGTATCAAGTATCAAGTAAGGTTACCGTGCACGGGAGCATGTAATTGACCCAGTTGTTGGTTGTAACCATAGACATTTTGTGGGTGTTCGGGTGAATGTTTTTGTTTCAGGAACTTGAAATATGGTTCAACTACATTTCCATATAGGATCAAAGATGAAGAAGATATGCAAAGTCTGAGATAAGATACGTTATAAGATTATAATATACTTAAACATAACATCAGATACCAACAAGACCAATTCCCAAGGAGAACAAACAATAACCTAGATATGACGCAGTTCTTAATCTATAACAATACACAAAACTCAACAAAATTAACGATACAGTTCAGTCATTTGTTAATTAGGACATCACTGTTTTCATTCCCCATGTGATCCAACAAAACACCTACCCACTCTGCCTCATCATAATACTCAGCATCAACATCATTCCTTGACACTGGCCGCACAGACATACGAGAAGTTGGCCGACTCGTTCCATGTTTCTTGATGTGATCACGTTCTTTCCTTTCTCGAACTAAAACAGAAAGACCCTGATGTTAATAAATTAATGTATACGATCTACATGTAGTACAACAGGAATCATGAAACTGGAAACATGCAAAATAATTCTGCACTTTACATCATAAACACCTAGTTTAGGATACGGAAAAAAACATTACCTTTCTGACTCTGTGCTATAGATTTGGGCGGACGGTTATCAATGGCGGCTGAAAAACGAAAAACATGCAACCTATTACTTTGAGCATCAATGTGTAACCCGATTCATGGAATAGTCAATACCAACTTAAAATTACAACAAGTTGCCCTCATATAATATACGCCCATAATTCGTGTTCACATAATTGCTTGAATCATGTTAATTTTTTTTAGAAATGTCACCCACTACACAAAAGTGTGAATGTCCATGTTTTGGTTTCTAATGGCACAGGTAAGTTATTAGACTAATTAATTATTGATATGGTCATTAGATCTCCATTTACTATCTTCTATTAGAATTGGTTACCTGTTGTTTCAGCAAATAGGACTGCTGATATTTGACAAAGCTTCACTACTGGGAATGTAAAGGTCTACAAGTCTTAAAGACAACCATGTGTACTCACGTTTAGCTTTATTTATCTTGCGGTAATGGTTGTTCATGTGATCCAGAACTAGATACTGTGTAGTCAGTTTGGCAGATGTTGGGGCTAATGCTGGAAAATTAGGCAAACCTATCTTATGAAACATATGATCATCATACATGACATCGTATTTCAAAATCAATATAAGCATGATAAGTCATTATCTAAACATACAAACTGTGCTGTTTCTAAAATATAATTTGTAATTTCTGTTGTTTTTTTCTTAATATGCAACAGTAAACATGCGAAGGAATAATCACATAACCATGATAACAGACACTTCAGTAACTATTCCAGTACTGTTGGTTGAGGTTATATTTTCATTTGCCATAGTAAAGCTGAAAATGGGAAACTTACGGCCACTTTTCAGCCCAAGACTCCCTTTTAAACTTCCAGCCATGTTTTTTCTGCTCTAAGGAGCTCCTGAAAGAAAGATATAAATTCTTTGTTTTACCGTGTTTACTTTTTATGAATTCTAACATGTGTAATCTATCATTGCTCTTACAATGATTACTTGACAGTACTCTGAGCCGGCCAGTACTTGTCTTATACCCATAATGCCAAGCACCAGTTATGGTAACAACAAGCACTGGCCCAGTTAACGTTTTTTGGTATGACATGGCTGCTGATCAAACCGCCAGCCTTCTTCTCTCCAGGCAAACACTCTACATGATGTATTAGACCATGGAGGTGGTCTTTCTTAACCTGAAGTAATAAAGTAAAAGGCAAAAAACTGCTCAATACAGAATACCTTTTGACACAATTTGCAGATGATACAACAATCATACTTGACGGATGTAAATCATGGCAAATATAGAAATTCGGAAAAAATATGCATCTTTTTCTTGACTGAAAATGAACTTTGAAAAAACTAAAATAATATGGATAGGCTCAAAACCTACAACGCTCCAAAATTACAAGACATATAACATACACGAATCCTGTTTTAAGCATCCACCAAAATATTTCATAGTAACTCTCCCAAAAAGCATTGCATGTAAGTTATATTGTAACTTCACCTGGAAACAAAACACAAAGGTTTTGTTGAACATTGCTGAATGTACTTAGACAAACCTGCGACGTCATGGTAGTCCAGGTGAGGTGAAATGGGGTTTATTATTCTTGCACTTATATTACAACGTGCATGCATGTGTCTTCCGTGCATGCGTGTGTGTCTTCCTTTACCATGTTTACTAGTCCAAACCAATGCTGGTGTTATTGTGCTAGTCCAGTGAGATGCGGTTTCGTCCAGATTTCAAGGCAGACACAAATTTGAATGCCTGCACTCAGATAACTGTTTTGAGGTTTATTTTGACCTGCATGAAAAGAATGGTAACTCTTCCTCAAAGGAGTGATTGGCACCTTTGCCTTGAGCTTACAGTGATGCCTTCAAATTACAAGGCATTCACACTCAAATCGCTGTACAAATTGTAATTACAAAGCAAGGAAGGTAATCCATGGTGTATTTTCAAAATCGCTGAAATATTAGGAACACTAGAAAACTTTCAGATACATTTCTCTGTTAAACATGTTAAATGAAATAAACTTTAAAGTGCAAATGGAAAGTTTTCTACATTCATCTGTTATGGTATTTCTTGTGTTAAAACGTCTCCCCATTTAAAAAAATAATCATACCTCGAGGTTTGAATACAGCAGTCGGTGACCCGATTCACTAGCGAGGTAATGATCATGATGATTGGATAGTTTATCTTGATCCTACTAGTAGTAGGCCTAAAAGCTAAACTAAATTGAAGACAGCTTTAGAAATTGGCACTAGTCCTGTAGTCCTTGCCAAACTGGCCAATAGTTGAGGTATCATAAGGTCGAGTCAAAATTTGCCATTTTTAAGGGTTTTGCTATATCTTATCATTATAACGACTAGTGAACTAAGATGTTAAGTTTCTACCCCTGGAAGATGAAGTTCATGATGATGGAGTAGTGCAAATGTCGTGCTAGTATGTCAATGTATACTTCATCTGATATACTGCACTTTAGCCATAGGACCAAAACAGGACCCAAACTAAACAAATAAAAAAAGCGGTAGATGATGAAAGTGAAAACGCCTTTCATGATTGAAATTCACTTTAGCATTTGCGGCGTTCTAACTCCGACACATCCATAACAACTATTGCAATAATATTGAGCCTACCGTTATATGAGGGTGCCTTCAGGGTAAAAATACCCGAGTGATCTGACGCTTTCTACATAATGCAATAAGCAAAACATTCTAAAATCAATACAGAAATTCCAGCCCAGACTCGTCCGCCATTTTGGTAACTATAAACTGTCGCTTGCGACCCCTATCGGGTTAAAACGAGAGTTACGTCCCTTGTTAACTATCCCAGCAAGCTCCTTCCCAGCGCGTGACACCTTCGTTACACTCTCTAGCATAGAGAGCGCCGCGAACGGATTATCGCTGTGAGGAGCTTGCTGTCCAAGCTTATGACACAGCTAAGCTGGGCCCCGTCTCTAATATCACAATATAGGAGCCGGTACAGGCCAATGAGACGATTGCTGTGAGCGCCTTCGAAATATATAACATTACACTATGTTATGTAATTTTTCATTGGTTGCTATTGTTAGACGAAGGGCTAGCCTTCTGCAAAAGCCTCCACTGAGAAACATCACAAACTACTTTAAGTCATTTTGTTTAGATGTGCCACCATCTGGTGCAGGAAAGACCCTCTAACCTTAACTTGTACTTAATTGTATGAAGTTAAATTTCCAAAATTATTTTCTTCATACATTTTACGTACATGATATCAATATGTAAGAGAAATGATAGTAAATAGTCTTGTGTATTCTAGTCTTGAACATTTCGCAGATTTTCGAATACACCCCCAAATTGTGCTATGCGAGAAAAAATAATTATTTTACACTTGTCAGAAAACTTTGAGCGAATAAACTATTCTCAGGTATTTAAACGAGATACGCATGTAGGAAATTTATATATGTCGACATATGTAGGGCCACGCATACAATATAAATGTCGCATTGAAAATATTCCTATCTTTGTCTTTCCATTCCATGACGTCAAAAATGTTTATGTTTAAAGTTGGTTGGTGTTCCACTCAAGGAATAAGGAATAACTCGTAATATATATGATGTGACTCTTCTGACAAAATAGAAATGTGTGGTACGACTCCTATGTGGTTGCAATATATTTATTGGATGATTACGTTTAAAATGATGAAACCTCTGTTGAAAACATTGAAATTGGAATAGAATAGCAATAAACAATGGCCGATATTGATATTTTCTAGATATATTTTTTAAACAACATTCAAATGCAATACAATTATCAATACCAACGAAATAAGTCAATGTCCGTTTAATCTCATTAAAATCAGTTCTTAGTTTTCGCTACCATAAACAAAGATTTGAGGACATCCAAACGGGGTTCAAGTCAGACCGACCTTTCGCGAACTTTGACCGATCAATGAAATGACTGACAAGAAGTCGACATTAGCCAATCAGAAGGCAGCTTTCTCGAGCTTTACGACACTAGTTTCAAACCGGCGACTACGCTTCGAAGCATATTTTGACGTATTCCCGATTAAAAATTTTAAAACTGATAAAAAGAACATTCTGGAATGGCTTATAGATGGCCTAGATTGTATGGATATAATCATTAAACCTGTAACTGTCGTTCGGAATACCCTCTGTTAAATATTTCGAGGTTGCATGATTAGAAAACACATTCCGTGTGTCACTTTCATGATCTGGTAGGCGACGCACTGATTGGTTGGATGAAAGGTCGTTCTGACGTGATCCGTAATGGGATGTCCTCAGATCTTTGTTTAGCGATAGGGAGAACTAAGATCTGATTTTACTGAGATTGATGTCCGTTACTCAACAAATTAGCAGAATCATAATGGATGGTTTCTATTCATTCACCCAGTCATCACTTCTAACTTTGTACAACGTTGTAGCTGAGTGACAGCAGTATGAAGGTGACATTCCTTTACTAGTGTTACAAATAATACTATCGTAGTAATGTAGTCTAAGATTGCACCTGGGTGAGGTCAGATGTCGATTTTCTTTTAAACATGGATGGTATTTAGTAACTATTTGCATAAATCAAACCTGTGTTAAGTGATTATGTTGATAATTTTCAAGATCGTTGGAAAGATAGCATGGGGTCTTATGGAATGCGTTCTTAGAAAACTGCTTTCCATCATACTGAACACGACAGACATGGGCATCACCCTCAAAAGGAGTATCTCCGTGGCATCGAACCTTTTATTAATGCATTACAACTATCCCCAAACAATCAGAGAGAAGAGGTTCTCTTACCTCGTTTCGGGCATTGTTGTCTTGCTGCATATCTCAATATTTAGCATAATAAAAACATTTCTGCACATTGTACAGTTCATTATTAACTGCATTGTCAAAATATGTGACTCAACGAGTCACGCGTCAACGCTTAGCTTATGACAGCCTGTTTCCCTGGGTATGCTGCGCTGGCGCTACACTGAAGCGCCAGCGCAGCATACCCAGGGAACCAGGCTGGCTTATGACATCGTTCGTTACCCTCCCGTTATCGTTGCTGTTAGACTTCCCAAATCTGTTTGGTGTGTTATATCACATACTGGAACCCTGTGTATCCTCTTAGAAGTCTGACCAAAATATAAAAAATATGACGCTTCATGTGGTTTAGTGTCTCGCATTGTTGAATGAATATTTCTCAGACGTAAAGACATTGAAACCCTGTCTTTAGTCCTGTCTTTATTGCTACAGCAGTTTCTAAATATCATCTAAACATATAAGTTCTTCATTGAAAAGATTATTAAGGCATCTGCATGTGTTTTAGAGCTTTTGTAACTGATATCTCTAACCTTACATATACTACTCGAAAAAAGTAAAGGATCAAACGATTCTTTCATATTCACGATAGTTAGGCCTAATCTGCCTGGGCGATCTTGTTGGGAACGTCTGCATTAAAATGAAGGCGACAGTAACCCGCCACCGTAATATTGGTCACGATTGTAACTTGTACGTGACCTTCTCGTGTCAAGTTTCTAGTGTTGGTTGGTTGGTTTGTTGTTTTACGCCGCGCTCAGCAATATTCCAGCTATATGACGGCGGTCTGTAAATAATCGAGTCTGGACCAGACAATCCAGTTATTGAAATCATGAGCATCGATCCACGCAATTGGGATCGATGACATGCATCAACCAAGTCAGCGAGCCTGACCACCCGATACCGTTCGTCGTCTCTTAAGACAAGCATAGTCGCCTTTTACGGCAAGCATGGGTTGCTGAAGACCTATTGTACCCCGGACCTTCACGGGGCCAAGATTCTAGTGGAAGGATTATTCTGTTATTCATTTATTAATAATTTAATTTAATTAATAATTTATTAATTCCCGAGCACACTTGATACAATACCAGCTAACCCCATAAACATACTTATATGTAATATCAGAAAGACATATGGAATGTCATGGAATCACACACGCGCACGCTCACGCGCACGCACACACACACACACACACAGGAAGGAGAGAGAGAGAGGGAGACCGACCTTCGTAGGTGCCGAACTGCAGACCAAACATCAACTTGCCTACTGCCGAACTGAATACCTTGGCGTTAATAGCTATACTAACCTCACATGACCACAGCTGGTATTCCCTCACGGGTCAAATAATACATATAATTCATTTACAATTTCTCGCCACCATTTTCTCAAGTACCTATTCTCTAGCGTGGTATTCTCTACATTCACCGCGGAGTATATGAATTATTTATCACATGCCAGCCATTTCACGTTAAGCTGTTTGGATTACGCCCTCACGGCAGTTAACACTATAATATCTAATATCGTAAAGGCATATAGAAAACCATAGAACACCCTCCCTCCTAATAACCCCTACCCTACCTCTTTACACACTTATGGGTGCTGCCGAACTGTAGACAAACAACAATTTTCATTCAGTGCTGAGCTGTAGACATGGACGTTAATAGCAGCTACTCTGTTAATAAGCATAACCTTACTTGATCATAGCTGGTATTAGTACACACCAAAGCGGTTGGGTTGACGGCGGCACAGGCACACACACTCTGGTTACGCCTCCGCCGAACCTCAGCCATATTGCAGCTATATGACGGCGGATTTTGATTGATCGAGTTTGAACCAGCAGTTATTCATATTTTACGAAACGTCGATGTCAATGTCGCTGACACGCGTTCAACCAAGTCACCGATTATGACCCCCGTTTTGTCCGCTCTTTACACATGGCATAGGTTATATTGCTTCAGCTGAAATTAAGCTTTCTTCTGGGCCCCACACCAGGTCGGGTAGCCTAGTGGTTAAAGCGTTCGCTCGTCACGCAAAAGACACGCAAAAGTATGTATGTATGTATGTATGTATGTATGTACAGTGGTCAGACTCGCTGTATCATTTACAGACCGCGGTCACATTGCTGGAATATTGCTGAGTGCAGAGTTAACAACAAACAACCTAACTAACTAACAAAACAACTCTCAGCGTGTCGATTTGAGGCATTTGACACCACTCGGCCCTTTCCGTAACCTGCATCCGGCTTGTCCCAGAATTACCCGGGTGGTCACGAATGAATGAGGGCGGCAGGTCTTAGAAGATAGCGTCTGGTGAACCCTGAGCGACCTCTGACAGCCCAATCTAAATGGAGGAAGTATGAGTTATAATAATAATAATAATAATAATAATAATTAATGGGCCATTTATATACCACACAGGGGTAGCTCAAAGCCCTTTTATTAACCAGGTCGCTGGATTAGTGTTTACTCAACAATCATTCTCATCTCCCTGGGGAGTATACAACCCAAGCTGCCTGTTAGGCGCTAGAATGTTAACAACCACCCTACCGGGTACCCATTCACTGCTCGGTGAACAGAGGCACATTTCGAACTTGCAAGTCACTTGCCCAAGGAAACACCAGCGGTGTTACATGTCCTTCAGTGCAGGGTAGGACTGAAGCCCTAGAAACTCCCAGGAGCCAAGTTGCCGAACGCGGACATCCATTCAAGGACTCTCCGCTAACGACGTTGCTTAACTTCACCTGATTTGTGACCTGGGCGCTATGCATATAGAGAATCTCACCCGAGTGTCTTTTGATATCAAATATATCAACATGAGTTGATAAAAGTGGGAAAACTCCGAGGCTTGCCGAGGATTTTTTCCACTTTTATCAACGAGTGTTGATATATTTGATATCAATAGACACGAGGGTGAGATTTTATTTATCATCCAACATTCATTCTTCCAACTTTTTCAATTTGTAGGCTTTAATAAGCAGTGTCTAAAGTGTAAAAAGTACTGCTAACAGCTTTAGTAGTAGAGCCATTAGTGATGTCATTTGATTGTGACGTCATGGTAACCAATGACGTCACAATGGTCTGCAAAGCATTGTGATGCAATGTCATTGCAGCGATATCTACAGTGTAGATATCGCTTGATCTCACACAAGCGATATCACCTGTGGGAGCCAGTTTGGGATGATAAAGGACCTTGAGCCAATGAAATGTCAGCTTTCTAAAACGATTCGGTTTCTATTCTTTACTACCTCGATTTGGAATTATAACAAAAGACACACATAGAGGGAGAGCACACATATTCCTTCGACGGTACTTCCTTTTGTATTTTGATGCCATGGCGCTCAGATACGAAAGTGTGAATAAAATATCACAACAACATAATGGCGCTGCATTTATCGTTTACATTCGGAACAAGCCGATTGACTTCGTTTTCGAGATATAGAAATATAGAAACCAGACATGCAGGTTTGAATGCTTCACTAAAACGTACCTAGAATCTCCTGTGGAGGTGTACTCAGATCTTTATACAGAGAGGTATCGCACCAGGGTGAAAGATCTGAATCTAATGAGTGAGTGAGTTGGGTTTAATGCCGCTTTTAACAGTATTCCAGTTATATCACGGCGTGTCAGCTTAATGTTTGAGGAAAGCCCGAAGTGATGTAGGTCTCAGACGTTTACCACTTCGGTGAAACCCACGAGCACGGGTATTGTGCTGACAAACCTAGACACATATTCGGGGCGAACCAGGATTTGAACTCACAATTATAGGTTTCTGGCGTGCCCAGGGGACGCAAATCTGCACAGCGAACCGCGGCGCCTTAGACGACTGGACCACCCGTGACCCCGAATCTAATGATATTGAAATATTTGACAGATGTTATTAAGATCTGTTGGCACAATCCCTTGCGATCCCGCCTTCCCGCGGCAAGGGAGTTAACCAGCTATAAAAGTCCAGTTTCAACCCTTGCCGAACTAGGCTGGAATTTCTGGGCTCGATCGTAGCGCCACTAGTTGCTATTACGAGTTATGTCCGTTCTATGTCCCTCCTATTGACCAATCAGATTCCACGTCCAATATATCACTTGCATTTGCTTCAAACAAAATGGCGATCTGATCGATAAGCAAAATCTGTTTATTGTGATAAAACGGCTCTTACTTTGAAGAGATTTGGAAATTAGAGTTAGATTTGGACTTACGATCACCTTAGCGCCACGACTGTCGAAGTCTATGTTACAGTATGGCAGTTACGATCACCTTAGCGCTACGGCTGTCGAAGTCTATGTTAAAGTATGGCAGTTACGATCATCTTAGCGCTACGACTGTCAAAGTCTATGTTACAGTATGGCAGTTACGATCACCTTAGCGCTACGACTGTCGAAGTCTATGTTAAAGTACGGCAGTTACGATCACCTTAGCGCTACGACTGTCGAAGTCTATGTTAAAATACGGCAGTTACGATCACCTTAGCGCTACGACTGTCAAAGTCTATGTTAAAGTACGGCAGTTACGATCACCTTAGCGCTACGACTGTCGAAGTCTATGTTAAAGTACGGCAGTAACGATCACCTTAGCACTACGACTGTCAAAGTCTATGTTAAAGTACGGCAGTTACGATCACCTTAGCACTACGACTGTCAAAGTCTATGTTAAAATACGGCAGTTACGATCACCTTAGCGCTACGACTGTCGAAGTCTATGTTAAAGTACGGCAGTTACGATCACCTTAGCGCTACGACTGTGGAAGTCTATGTTAAAGTACGGGAGTATGATTGCTTTGTGGAACAGGGCCCAGTGCTGCAACATGCGTCTCCCACAACAATCTCTTCTTACATCTCCCATTATTTCATGTTACCCTTCTGAATATGTCTGCATCAATGTGTTTATATTATATTTAAATATTAATGTGTTAAAGTCATCAACGAGTGTGTAATTAGGAGGTAAAGCTACTGTGTTGTGAAATTTGATGTATTCACACTGTAGATTAGATACAGCGTATTTCAATTTAGAACCAAGCACTTTAACGTCATATTTCCAATGTATAAATAAGAGAGACCTAAAAGGATAACTCTTTCTAAACAATCAGAAACATTCATTCTTCATTGTCATGGTAGAATCAATTGTAACCATTTCCAAACGGTAGGTTGCGTCAATGTAGTTGTGTAAAATTTCTCCATTTGTCTAACATGCGGCTCATAACGGGATTTATTGGTGATGCTACAGGTGGTAAGATACTTAATCCGTACGTCACACGTGTGTCGTACAAGGTTGACCTCGTTTTAATCGTTTTGATTGGATAACCGTGACCTCTGTCACATCGGGACTACTTTTTTCATTCATAAAAGATCGCGAGACGTCATTCATTTTGAAATTACAAGGCAGAACTGAAGCAATCTCATGAGAGCGAGAGATATTTACAAACACTTTATGAAACCAAACAAGATAGTCACGCGCATCAAATTCGGTTTGCATTCTATATAAGTTATGCATAGAGCTTCTACAGACATTATATAAGCCTAATCGAGCTATACAATGTATGACTACCGATCAATAGATCGAGGGTCCCCATGGGCATTTGCTAACACAACTGCAGGAACATATTGTTAATGCGTATGCATAAAAATGTCAACAATGCCCATATTTGGGCATATTTTAATATTCCTGCGCATCCAGATTTTGCAAATGGTTTCAGTTTGATCTGTCAACGAGTTGACACACAAGTGTGTAAGAAAAATGGTATCTAACGAGAACGAGTGTAGTATTCTCTATAAACATCTCCCAGAAACCTATGCTAATTATGTGTCCTATGTCAGTACCAGCCCACTGTTTTGAACAAAATCGATCCGAGGCATCTTGATCGCAATTATGCCAATGGGCGGTCTTTCCGTATCGCGTCCCGAGTTTATAGTCTATATATCCGCGAAGCCGCGGTGCTACATACATACTTGAACAGGCTATACATCATAAATACCTCATTTATTTCTGGTACATCCATCTAACTTAATTCCCCTTTTTCATGACGGGAGTATTGAAGGGAAGCGAATACACTTGGGGAAACGGCTTTGAGTCACACGCATGGTGAACAGCTTGACTTGCACGCTCTTGCCAACATTTGTTTCTCCTGGTCTGCTGAAGGCGTGACACCTCGCCATGCTGTGGAAGAGCATTGCCATTCTCTCAGTTGTCCTGTTATGTTACACATTCCTGTCAGCGACAGTGTTTCATTATCTGGAACAGCCAAATGAAATCCTTGTGAAGGAAAGGACACGGGACTTTCACATGGAATTCCTACGTAAGTAATTATTTTATCGAACATCACTGAATTAATGCAGTTATTGATCATATTGAGGGTGAAGTGGTGTGGGGTTTAACGTCGCGTTCAAGATTATTGCACTGATATAGCAACGTGCATTCGTGTGTGTGTGTGTGTATGTGTGTGTGTGTGTGTGTGTGTGTGCGTGCGTGCGTGCGTGCGTGCGTGCGTGCGCGCGAAGGCAAGCCTTTGAACCCGTGACGATTGTGGTGGTGGGTGGTGGAGAAGGATTTCATTTATTGTATAAACAATTAGGTGCGAGTGATCATTAATGTTAATCAGTTAATGAAACTAATGTTATTCAATGAGTGATACATTTTCCATAATCACGAGTACTAAGTGGATTCTTCTTTTAATTGCCCAGTTTCATTCTAGACACATTAATTTGAAGATACAAAGCTGAAGTCGTAACAGCCTGGTTCCCTGGGGATGCTGCGCTGGGGCTATACTGGCTGGGCCCCGTCTCTAATATCACAATATAGGCGCAAGTTGACAACGTGCATAGGGAGTCTGGAACCAGCTTACAGGGTAACACCAGTCAAGCTCCTCACAGCGATATCCCGTTCGCGGTGCTGCCTGTACTATCGCTGCCAAGCTCCTAACAGCAATATCCCGTTCGCGGTGCTCTCTATACCATCGCTGCCACCAGTCGAAGCTCCCCACTGATGGCTACAACCATGCTTGGAGATGAGTGAGTGAGTGTGGTTTTACGCCGCTTTTAGCAATATTTCAGCAATATCACGGCGGGGGACACCAGACATGGGCTCCACACATTGTACCCATGTCGGGAATCGAACCCGGGTTTTCGCCGTGAATAGCGAACGCTTTAACCACTAGGCTACCCGACCGCCCCCTCTTTATATCAATGTCACATAGAAATTTACTCTTGTTTTAATGAAACAGGTTTTAATATTTGTATTTAATCATGAAATACTTTGTTTAGTCTGACCATGCTGAAAACATTATTTCGCTAGAGTGAAATAAAGAAGATTATTAAAATCACAAAGTGAAATATCACGTTTTGTCACACCTACAGTCAGTCTGCCTCATTGACACTATGGTTTTCTGAGTGAGGTCATGAAGATCACAAAGAAAATATAATATGAAAAAGACTTGTATTTTTTTGTCAAATGAAATGTGTATCTCATCTTGTGGTTTACTAAAGTTGATATTTTGACTTGTGGCTGTGTCTCTCATGAAAATATTACCTTTGTCAGATCACAAGATGAGCTACATTCATGCTATCATCGTTACTTGACAAGGAACAAATTCCCTCTATGTATTTACATTTTTTTTATATTTCTTTTCTTGATTGAACTATCAAAATTATGAGAATGATCACACCACTTGACTTGATTAAATAAACTAACAGTTTCAAAACATGTTTGTGTAGATAAAACCAGATGGATTTCACAATTAAACAAAGGGAATAAATAAGTTATGATTGAAATACCCATGAGAATTACACAACATTCAAAAAAATATTTCTGTTTATAAACTGGGCGGCAAAAGAAAGTATAGGTCGAGTTCCATGATCGATAAAAAATGATAAGAAGAGGTTTTGTTTTGAATTATAAAAAATCTAGGGAGGGGTAACAAATGATTGATCAACCACAGTTTGAATGGAATTGTGCAATCACAGGTAATGTAAGCTCAAGGTACACAATGGTGGGGTAAGAAATTTCATTTTCAAAAGTTGTCTGAAATGTCACCAAAAAATTGTCAGACACACTACAAGTTCATTGTCGACACAGTTGCCTTCAATAGCGTGTATGACCTCCGCGTGCCTCAATGCATGCTGTGATACGCCGCCTCATCGATGACGACAGTCTTCTGGTGACGTGGACTGGAATCCGTTGCCACTCGTCTCTCAGGGCCTGCTGCAATTCTTGTCTGTTGACGGAAGGACGATGGCGTGCTCTAATCTGTCTGTCAAGATGGTCCCACAGTTGTTCAATAGGATTCATATTGGGTGAGTGGGCAGGCCAGGGCAAAACGTCAACGTTCTGCTGGTTTAGAAAGTTCCGAGTCAGTCTTGCAGTATGGGGCCTGGTATTGTCGTGTTGAAACAATGTCCCCTGCTGTTGGTTTTGTAAGAACGGAAGCACAACTGGCTGCAACACTTGGTCTCTGTACTGCACAGCGTTCAGGGTTCCCTGTATAATCAGTCTTCTGATCTCCACAAATACCGCCCCACACCATGACACCTCCCCCGCCGAATGGATGGACCTCTCGAATACACGCCGGAGCCAAATGTTCCCCTCCGCGTCGATAAACTCGTTCTCTGCCGTCATGTCGAAACAAGTTAAACCGACTTTCATAAGTAAACAGCACTCGACGCCAATTTCGCAGTCTCAGGCGTCGATGTTGAGCAGTCATTACCATTCCTCGGAAAGGAGGATACACTCGGATTCCAGCAGCACGAAGTCGTCGTAGTACTGTACGTTGGCTAATGGGATGTCCCAACGCTGTTGCTGCCGTCGCCGTCGCCGTTACGAATCTGTTTCGCAGGTGAATGAGCCGTATCTGACCGTCTTCCAGTGGTGTTGTCACTCGGGGTCGTCCGGTTCTAGGCCTGTCCTGCGTCCTCCCTGTCTGCCTGTACCCTTGAATCAGTCTGGCTACTGTCAATGGTGTACAACTAAACCTTCTGGCAATTTGGACATGTGTTTCCCCCATTTCGGCCATACCGATGGCTCTCTCTGTCTCTGTTCCTGTGACAGTCGTGGCATTTCTTTTGTGTGCTTTCATCACGTGTGGTTATACCCTGCAGACGAACGCATTTATACAGCTAATATGCACGTGCAGTTTATGCCATAAGCGGGAAACCTGTTTCACCATTTTTTTTGTCACCGCACGAGCGCCGCCAAAGGTGGCGCGTTCGGGTGAGGTTTTTTTTGGTACCTGTTCCTGGGCAGTCATATTCCCAATACCCATATTCCACTATAATTATCGCTGTTTTAGGAAAATTACAAATTGCCAACCTATTCTTTCTTTTGCCGCTTAGTTTAGTAATCTTAATCTCAATTTAGGAATGTGCAATATTCGAATACAGACTGTTAAAGAGTTTTCTGTTTCTGTACATAACATAAAGATCACATGTAGAACATTTACTGGCCATTAATTAGTTGGGATTTTGATCATTTCATGACATGATTAATTTGGTACAGAAAAGTAAATGTCATTTTGGTAGAAATATTGTTTACAAAATTGTAGATCAAACTGTACTTCACTTTAAATATTTACGCACTCTTTATGTAATAATTCAGTTGAAATATTACACCTCATGCTATCTGATCTGTCAACATTGACAATTAAAATAACTACTGTTCACAATAACACAGCAGCACTAGTAGATCTAGAGGTCTAATACTTTATTGGAATGTATTTGAATCCATCCTAAAAAGATGAATAAAATCAACACATCAATTTAGTTAGTTTCTGACATCTATCTTGATATGGTCCAAAGGTCAATTATCTTCTACTCCACTTCAAATACAATTCGCAAAGTTCTTCAAACTCACACCTTGACTAAAACACATAAATAAATAGTTTGGGTTAATGGTGTGTAAACAATGAATTATTCTTTACACGATCCCAGTAGCAGGGTTCATTCAAGGAATCGTTTTACATGGGCCCTTTATGTACTTCTTTCAAGTATTCCAGACGTAGATCTACGCCCATACAGCATAATGTTAAAATACCACATTGTATTTGAAAATATGGGCCTTTTTCAAATTTAGGGGCTAAAAGCAGAACCACCCTAAAACTATCCTGTCAGTAGGATGTGTATAAAGTCTGTTCAGCTACAATAAACTGCACTGGGAGTTACCAGGTGGTCATGGATATTTGAAATTGAAATCACAACAGAACGGCCAGACTCACTCGCTAAATACATCAGTAAAGAGACCAGGTAACAGTAGAATAGTTTGTCAGTGATAAGAATATTGTTCAATACTTACGATAAATGTTGCCGTGATAGTACCGGAATGGTTAAATTGTCACAGTTTGTCCCGAGTGCGTGCCTTGTTGATATCTCCATGTGTGTCATGTGCTACCTTCTGCTCTCCAAGCCTCGCTTTCAAACCGGAAGTAGCGAAGTGTGAAAAAGGTCAAAAGTAAATACATGTCGGGTCCGCCGTGTTTGTTCGTCTACTGGAGGCGGCCATTGTGCAGTCATTGCCTGGGTATATGTAGCGACAGCGCAGCATACCCAGGGAACCAGGCTGAACTCGTAATACATTTCTGTAAGGCTCCATTACATTCTGGATTTTGGTTCAAATTGTTTTTTTAACGGTCAAATCAGCCGTCAACCTCCACAGTAGAAGTCTCTGGTAAATATGAAGACAGGTCATATTTGTTTATATCTTAACAAGCAACTCCAGTAAAAAGTGCATCCCCCTTTTGTTCAGACTTCAAAAATCCTTTTGTGCAGGGTGTAATTTGTTCTCTCTTTGTTTGGGACAAGGGATTCTTTGCTGAAACACTATAATAGAATAACATACATCGCCAGACTAATTGAATATATAAAATCCAATTTTGTGCCAATAACTCGGTACTGATTGCTAGTGTCAGCTTCATTATGTATATGATTGTAGTGCCAGGCATTCTGTTTGGCAGTTTATTACTTTTTTTTGTCGTGTTTACAACGCTGAATCACACCAGTCAGGTTTTTAATGTAGCACATATCAGAAGGTGCATGCATGGGTTGCTGAAGACCTATTCTAACCCGGATCTTCCCGGGTCCTGAAATTAGGCGCAGATGCATGAGAAATTAGCGTACTCATGTATATCATAATTTTTACGGGGCGGTCGGGTAGCCTAGTGGTTAAAGCGTTGGCTCGTCACGCCGAAGACCCGGGTTCGATTCCCGACATGGGTACAATGTGTGAAACCCATTTCTGGTGTCCCCCGCCGTGATATTGCTGGAATATTGCTAAAAGCGGCGTAAAACCATACTCACTCACTCATAATTGTTACTGAACACGTTTCGCTGCCCCACCCTGTGGTGACTTCATGCTGTCTATAGTCTAAACAAGTCACATTTTCATGTACATTTCCTGCGAAATGACTAAATACATTAAACAAATCAAGTTATATGATACAATGTTTCATTTATAAACTAATACTCCGTATGTTTGTGTAGACGAAAGTCATAAAAATGTCAACTTTAACTTTGTCAGGTTACACAATGAGATAAATATCCTATTGGTGAGGAACGATTCTCTCTCCCCGCCCTTGATTTGTAATATTGGCTCCGGCTTCAGGATTAGCCCCTCACACACACACACACACACACACACACACACACACACACTGAATTCCTTCCTACAGTCCTGCTTACTGCGTGTATTCTACAGCTCGAGGCACAAATACATGTTACAGCTGCCCACAAAACTAAATGGTAATTCCACAGAATATACAATTTATCCAAAGACGCTATATCGAGGAACAGTGTAGTTAGCATTATTCTGAAGGACCGAGCAATGATGCCTGTGTTTGATTTTCAGGTAACTTCTCGTGTTTAAAGACTGGCGATCTGGAGATCTTCGTAGAGCGAGTGACGGCGGCGTACGACATGGGCGTGGTGGCGACAGCCAATAAGACGTCAGAAACGAACTGGGACTTCGCAAGTGCTTTCCTCTTCACCACGACCATTATTTCCACGATAGGTACTCATGTTAGGGGCCGGTCAGTTATTATAGGGGAGGGGGGTTTGGGTTGGGATGTGAGATTCATGTGGGTGTCATGAAGGAATGACTCAACGAAAGGGGGGTTGTCGCCAAATATTATCATCACTATGGCCAATATCACCGGCCCCTCCCTGTCCCGTTATAAATGGCCAGTCCCTCAGCTGCGAACTCGAAGCTATGTATCGCTCCACTTGTACTCTCCGAGGTCCCTGTTCGCAATTTTTTACCCTTAAAAAACATAAAGGATCATGAACTATAAGTGTTGATACCAGGTATTAGAACTTAGATAAGTGCTGCCGCCAAACATCCTGTGCAAGAACGTTTAAAACATTTATTTTTTATTTTTTTATTTTTTTATTTTTTTATTTATTTATTTTTTACGTTTAAAACATAACACCAAAACACACGTGCGCAGGGTGTCAGTCTTGATTTTGACACATTCGAGAAAGGTCGATTAATCTTTGTGGACCATTATTACTGAAATTCTTAATAATTCTGCTTATCATACAGTTGTGATTAACTTGATTTCATTCATAGTTTGTGTATGAACCAGGCTGGAAACTGGCAGCCATCAGCCGTGCGTTCAATGTTTCACAGTCTGGGATTAGCAGACTATGGAACAGGTACCAACAAATCTAAAATGTTGATGATCGACCCCGTTCAGGGCGTCCCAGGTCAACGACATGAGTACAGCATCGATTAATCGATGGCTGTACGAAATTGAGCTCAAACGGCGCATGAAATTGTTGCCGACTTTCATCAGGCTACCGGTGTATGAGTTAAGTTAAATCATTAAAGTAACCTCCTATCGTCCAGTACAGTTGGCGCAAATGACGTCACACAATAAAAGTACTCTTATATAAAGAAGAGTCACAGCTTGAACTGTCCGTCCTTTGTGGCGCTGTCCGTCATTGTCACACTCAATCCCGAGTTTGGTAAAATTCTACCAGTGTCCGTGTAATAAAGTCTCTATATATAATAATACTTGTGTCATATGTTCGATCCCATATTGTGCATCTGTGGCCTTGTTACGCAATTACTTGGTAGTGTTCCAGCAACGATGCGGCCGCCGCCGCGGTCAGCAATAACCTGGCACCATTCGCTGCCTGGCTGCCTCACCAAGAACACTTGGGATAACGTGTCCCAAGTTTTCAAAGACATGTTTGGTCTCAACTCAGCTTGTCGTCTCGCGAGGGTAGATGCTTTTCTGTGATCAAAGCACCCCCAGAAGCGCAACATCCATAGAATACCGATCCATGCTTGCCGTAAAAGGCGACTATGCTTGTCGTAAGAGGCGACTAACGGGATCTACTGATCCAAAAACGTCAACTTTAAAATTTCCCACCTTACGCCTGTCGACCTTCAAGATCGTTGGCGGCCATACTGTCATACTTCCCTACCGGTTGTAATATCATACAACTATTACTAGAAACTAATATCACTTATGTAATTTAGGAAATTTTAAGTTATTTCCGCCTATCCCTTACTTCTTTTTTTTTAAAGAGTATATTACAGCCGAAACGCTTATAAAATGTGTCTTTAGCAACGACCCGATAGTATAGGTATCGGGTGGCCAGGCTTGCTGACTTGGTTGAAGCATGATCGTATCCCAATTGCGCAGATTGTTGCTCATGATACCAATCACTGGATTGTCTGGTCCAGACTTGATTATTTTCAGACCGCCGTCATATAACTGGAATATTGCTGAGTGTGGCAATAAACGACAAACAAACAAACAATCACACCGTGAAATAACACATTGCTGTACAAGGTTCAAATGCTTCTATGATTTCAGGCTATGGCAACATCGCGCCGACCACCTTGGCTGGACAGGCTTTCTGCATATTCTGTGCACTGTGCGGAATACCTTTAAGTGCTGTGTTCCTTGCGGCAATGGGTCAGAAACTGAGGTATCCCATCACGAAGCTCCAGGAGAGGATAGTCACGAGCCGATCTCACCGTGTCCTCAGATGTGTCAAAGTCTGCCTGTGTGTGGTGCTGGGCTCCACCCTGTTCATCCTCCTGCCCTCCGTCCTATTCAGCGTGGTGGAGGGGTGGCACTATGGCGTGTCCGTGTACTATACTGTTATAACGCTCACTACTATAGGATTCGGGGACTATGTAGCAGGTAGGTATGAGTTTGGATTAACGTCTTGCAACCCTATCTTCCCGCGGCAAGAGAGTTAACTGACTAGTAGTCCTGTTTCCACCCTTGCCGAACTAGGCTGGTATTTACGAGTGTTGGCTGGACTAACGAGTCCACGCATAGTCCAATTAAAATCGCGCAACGAAATCGCAATCCGGCACGCAAACTGTCATGCAGATTTCGGTCGATTGCAGGATTTGCAAAGCATGCGCACAGCCAACTCGCTGTCAACAGATATTTTCCTAGTCTTTTCATGTTTCTTGTCAAGGTGTTCACGTGAGTTGATGCACTTTGCGATTTAAGACCCGTTTTATCACCATATAGATCTTGAATATCGATCAGATCGCCTTGACTTGGCGGCGCCATTTTGTGTGAAGCAAATGCAAGTGATACGAGAGGTGGAATCTGATTGGTCCATCGGAGAGGCATAGAAGGGACATAGTTCGTAATAGCCACTGGTGGCGCTGCGATTGAGCCCAGAAATTCCAGCCTAGTTCGGCAAGGGTGGAAACTGGACTTTTAAAGTCAGTTAACTCTCTTGCCTCGGGGTCCCTTCGGCACGCCAGAAACCTATGATTGTGGGTTCGAATCCCGGTTCGCCCCGATTATGTTTCTAGGTTTGTCAGCACCATACCCGTGCTCGTGGGTTTCACCGAAGTGGTAAACGTCTGAGACCTGCATCACTTCGGGCTTTCCTCCCACATTAAGCTGACACGCCGTGATATAACTGGAATAATGTTAAAAGCTGCGTTAAACCCAATTCACTCACTCACTCATTGGTCATATACATGTGATGGTGAGGAAATCCACCACGACTTCATTAGATTACTATAGTTGTTACATCGAGCATATAAAACAAAAGTCAACAAAAAACACGCATCTCCTTATGGAAATGGCTTACCAGGCTTCACAATCATTAAAACAATTTTAACATTTGTCTTTTTGTCCATGAAATCTATAAGAGAACACTGCTTGAAAAACATTACCTGAAAACTCAGCTATGTATTTGAAAACACAATGCCATTTAGAAAGTGGTCAAATGTAACAAATGTTATATTTGGTATGACACTTTCTTAGTTAAGTACAGATTCTTGTTCTTTTGGGGGTTGAGTCCCGCGCCTCACTCTGGCGGTGTGGGTTCGAATTCCAGACGGGACTCAACCCCAAAAGGTACGAGAATCTGTACTTTTCCAAGACAGTGTTATCCCAAATATAACATTTATTACATCTGACCACTTTCTAAATGGCATTGTGTGTTCATAGCTTTCGGCCATGGGAGCCGTGCCAATTTACACTTGTCAGATGGGTACACAAAGTACTTGTCAAGACTACCAGTTGTCGGAGTTTCATTTTGTGGAAGCCTCGGTGGCTGAGTGGGCTAGATCGCCGACTTAGTACGAGAATCTGTACTTTACCAAGTAATTGTTATCCCAAATATAACATTTGTTACAGCCCGTGTATAGACTTAAGACAGCATCATATTTACCTTCTTTGTGAATGTAGCAATATAGGCGCAATGCAGTGTTTCGTCTTCTATATTACCCCCTATATTCATATATTCTTATGGTGAAAATAAGAAACCGTTCATGTAGTCGTCACATTTAATGACACCTGCAGTTCATTACCCCCGGGATGGTGGTCGGGTAGCCTAGTGGTTAAAGCGTTCGCTCGTCACGCCCAAGACCCGGGTTCGATTCCCGACATGGGTACAATGTGTGAAGCCCATTTCTGGTGTCCCCCGCCGTGATATTGCTGGAATATTGCTAAAAGCGGCGTAAAACCATACTCAGTCAGTCAGTCAGTCATTACCCCCGGGTGAAAGCCTCAAAGCGCTACGTATTTGCGGAAATTGCACGCGGGTAGGTATTGGCAAGCCTTTGTCATCCATCCACCGCAGTGTCACTAAGACAGTGTTTGGATATGTTTACTCTGGCTTGTAACAGAAGGCATTATGACGAGACAATGCATGTCAGTAGCGCACAAACTGCAAACACGTGGAATGATAAAGACTAATCAGTGTGAAATGAAGTATGTGACAATGCGGCATGGTCGCAGGGCGTGGGACCGTAACATAAGATGCAATGCGTCATGGATACATTCAGATCATCACCAAGCACAGACGCGTTTAGGACCATCTCTAAGGGTTGGTGCTCAAAGGAAAGGTCGCGGGATCAAGAGTCGTCTCCCTTTAGTTGGCACTCTGATGGCCGCTTATCACAAATACGTTAATAATTGAGTGAACGCGGGGTGATAGCGTTAGGTTGTTGCGCCACGCTGAATCATTGATGAATCCGCTCGTGAAGATCCGGGTTAGAATAGGTCTTCAACACCACAGCTTGCCAATCAATCACTGAATTGTCTGGTCCAGACTCGATTATTTACAGACCGCCGTCATATAGCTGGAATATTGCTGGGTGCGGCGTTAAACTACAAACAAACAAACAAAAATTGATTAATCAAGTTTTCTTGACTTTAAAAGATGGCCACAGTCCTGTTTAAAGACGCGCTTACCATCAGTGGGCCATACGACTGATATAGTGATGACACTGTGATGGTATGGGTTTGCAACACCTCCAGCTATACAACAGTGGCAATGTTTGAATGTAAAGGAGGTTATTTATGTGAAACAGACCGTGTCATCCACGCCATTTTGTCAAGTTTATTCAGGGACTACAACGATCTTAGCTACTTAAGATTGGCCCGGACCAGTTGTATGTTTCGATTGTAGCTTACAATGATCTTAGCCTACAATCGCTTTGTGCAAGTGGATTACGATCGTAGCCGAAGCCTAAGATCGTGATCTTAACAATAATTGTAGCGCTAAGATTGTTCTGTGCCAGTGGACCCTGCAGCGCCCTAGCGTCTGGGCCAACTTTTTGCAGCAACAACGACCCTCACCCAATGCATGCCAAGACGACGCCAGGCAGCTGTCCAGGCCCGTACCCCCACACTAGCATTCTGTTCCCAGCTGTGAAACGATCACACCTTTACCGTTGATTTTGCATGTAGTTTCATATTGCCAAAACCCATGCAGAAATCGTGCATGTTATCTACTTATATGTTCAACCTATTTATGCTACTCCACCTTTGATAGGGATTCTCTTAGCATTCCATGTTACACAGAACTGATTCTCCTGATGTCACGTGTGTATTTACAGACATATCTGATCAACATCAACAGGGAGGAGTATGCCACGCGGACTAACACAGAATAACGCAGACCATGTTTTTTGACATTTTGAAACTCAGATACGAAATTAAAAACACTACAGACGAGGGAACCCATATCTTAGCTGCATGTGCCACCATATACCACAGTAATACAAATCAACTTAGGGACCGACCATTTTATATCCTGGAGATGCCTGTGACTTTCACCCACCAAAATACTGTACCAGAACATACTTGAAATGATAACTATGCTTCAAACTGTTGAAACAGAAGTTGTCAGCCACGAAAAGTACTTTGTTGCAAGATGTTATAAAATTTTTTTTTTTTTTTTTTTTTTTTAAATATATCTGGTTTTGCAGCTGTTGCTGAAAAAATACTCACACATCCTCCTATATGAAATGATCGGTTCCTAAGAACTTGTGAACTACAATGCAAACTATGGATGTGTTCCTGTTGCAGGTCAGCAGGCGATGCCGTACCGTCACCTATATCGTGCTGTGGCTGCTGTGTGGGTGGTTCTAGGTCTCGCCTGGGTAGCCCTGCTCATCAGCGAGATGACCGGCGACATCAATGACAAGATCGTCAAAAAGGAAAAGAAATGCAGTACCAAACATGTCAGTGTCAAACTGTGAAAACCAACTGTTAGTGATTAAACTATGGTTTATGTCGTCATCAGCAACAGCCAAGCAAGGGCAGAGCGGTCGTTGAATAATGAATTACGCCCCAGTAAGCAATATATTACAGCTATACCCCGGCTATAAAACGATGGTCACAATCACCACGGATCCCCATTTAAGCCAGTTTGGGAGCAAATTTGGGACACTATTCCTCGCCGGATTATACACGTCGACCACTACACAACTCAGAATTTGCTGCTGTGAGCTGCATATATTACAGACAATTCATGTAGAGGCGGTGACCCAGTCGTTAAAGGCATCGGAATTCGCTGTGCAGAGTTTCGTCCCTTAGGCGAACCAGGAACCTGTGATCGTAGTCTCGAATCACGTTCCCCTGATTTCAAGCTGACACGCCGTGATATGTATGAAATTCTGCACAAAGCGGCATGAGACCACTCACTCTCTCACAGCGAGGCGAATTAAAGCGAGGCATTCCTTAGCCTTGACATGATCCACTGGTCTTTGGTTCGAATCCTCCATTAATCCCGATTATGATCCTTGGTGTGTGGTGATAAACGTCATTTAGATGTGAATCAGTGTTTTAATTCAAAGTGAGAGAGTTGGGTGTAACGTCACTTCTAACATTATTCCAGTTATATCACAGAGTGTCAGCTTACTGTGGAAGGAAGCCACGACATGATGCATGCACGGGTATGGTGCTGACAAACCTAGAAACATTATTCGAACAGGGATTAGAACCCATAATCACAGGTTTCTGGCGTGCCTAAGGGACGCAACTCTGCATGTCGAATTCTGGCGCCTTAGACGACTGTGCCCCATCGTAGTAGTGGTGGTGGTAGTAGTTGTTGTAGTAGTAGGAGGAGGAGGGGTTGTGTCTGTAAAATTTGTAGTCGTATCCCACACAATTTCCATACTTTTTGCCTTAAAAACAAAACTGAAATGCCTTGTTCTTATCTTTCAGGTAGATGAACAGGACGAATTACAGATGAAACCTCTCGAGTCTTAGAAGATAGTGAAGTGACGTGTTTGAGATACGAGACCCCGTGTCCTCGTTCTGTTGGGGGAACTATGGGCGCTCGGGAACCTTGATTATGTTGGTGACTCTTTACCCTCGTGCAACCAGGTTTCCTGACGAAGTAGTGATATGATCAGTGTACCGAAGCAGTATAGCATTGTGATACCAGTATACCTCGATGAAGACAATACTCTCTTGATACCAGTATACCTCGATGAACACAGAATGTTTAATTGATGCCAGTACCCCACGATGAAGACGATACTCTCTTGATACCAGTATACCGCGATGAAGACAATACTTTCTTACACACCTGTGGGTAAGAAACCCATTTGAGATAACTGGTATCAAACATGTGTGAGATGAAATTCCAGGCCAGTGATTGGCTGCGCCATGGTGATGGTCAGATTATGGCGGACTACTTTCCAGATCGTAAGTCATTGATAAGTTGCTCGTGCTTCTGTCGAATGTCCACCTACGTCTGTGTTGAACGTTATGGATTTAGAGTGTTAATAGATATATTCCTGTGTTATGGGTTTTCGGACGCTAAGACACATTCGCTTATCACAAGAACCGTAAAACAACTCATTCACTTATCAAAGACAGCTTTATCTAAAAATCAAGCCATCATTTGAGTATTTACAATGTCTGTTGACACCACAACCCTCGTTATAGCGGGCGTAATTCGCGATTCACATGGCCCTCTGAAAACGTTTGATGTCCGAAAACATATGATCTGATTATATATATATATGCCTCTCCTCTTCAACCCTCACTTCGAAGTCGACTAAAATTTGAAATACATCACGCACACTAAAACTTTTGAATTCTGTTGGAAATTCCCTCTTCTTTGATATCATCCACTGTCATATTAGCCAAAGCAAAATTACTGTGTGTTTAGAAATCTAAATATCGGATATTTAGTCGAAGGATTGAATTTCAAAAATAGCACATTAGTGATCACGGGAACATTCACCAAAACACCAATGATAATTCTGAAACGTCGCCAAGGAACCTGGAATGGTTTAAAATGTGTTTGAAAATACGCAAACTCGAACGCCTAAGTGCACTTTCCGCCATATTGGATAGTGTTTACAAAAATCACGTTTCGCGTATGTGAGTTATGAGGTGCCTATTAGATCACGTACATTTCAAACGCAGCTCGGATATATGCATCCCTGAATTCCTCACACATTTTAGAATCAAATGACAAATGGTCTTTGTCACCAATACAAGTTATCGAGATGACATGAAGCTAAATAAATTAGGTGTGGAAACGAACAGCTGTGCTCGGAAAACTGTACTTGTTGCAATGTAAACAAATCAAAATTCGGATTTTACACTCTCCCATTTTGAGAGACCAATTCGTCTAATTGTTGCATACTTTAATTAAAATTATATACATTACAATGATCAGGGAAATTCAACACACTTTGTAAAAGTTTCCGTCCTGTGGGACACCATGACTGACGCAAAGTCACGCACAACGACGACGGCTGTTATCTGCAGTTCTGTCAAAGTCTTCCGCTGTTGTTCTGATGTGACGTCTATTTCGTCTGTATGTTTTGCCACTGCTAGTTGTCACCTTGTATGATCCTGGTGAAGGGTCGACTGCTGTCACAACAGCAGAATTCCACCCGATCTTCTGTACTCTGACATAGTGTCCCGGATTCAGGGGAGGCAACTCTCTGCTTCCTTTGTCATAGTAGCACTTTTGTAGATCTTGCCTGTATTCACGTTGTCTTTAAAGCAGGGAGTGATCTTTTACTTGTGGTTTGGGGAGTGCTTTTGACACAGGCAAGGGGCTCTTCGGGCGCCGTCCCATCAGCATCTGTGCTGGCGTCAAGTTCACTTAGTACACTGGTGTATTTCTGTACTCAAGCAGGGATAAGTAAACATCTCTTCCACTTGCCTCTGCCTTTTTCAACATCATCTTGACAGTCTGTACTGAGCTTTCGGCTTGACCATTCGATTGTGGATATGTTGGGCTTGATGTCATGTGGGTGAATTCCCATGCCTGTGAAAATCTGCGAAACTCAGTACTTGAAAATTGTGGACCATTATCTGTCATGATTTCATCTGGTATTCAGTGTCTAGCAAAGACTGACTTCATTGCTGTGATAGTAGTTTTGCTTGACTAGTCAGTAAGTTTCACAATTTCTGGTTACTTTGAAAAGTAGTCCAAACACAACAGGTAATCACTGTTTTTGTATACAAACAAGTCTGCACCAACTTTAGCCCATGTTCTTTCTGGTATGTCATGGCTTTTCAGTGGCTTTTTTGTGTTGCTCTTTTTGTTTTCATTGCAGATTGTACACTGAGATACAAAATCTTCATTATATTTGTCTATTCCAATCCAGAAGAGTACATCTCTTGCTTGTTGCTTGCATTTCGTTATTCCTGGTGTGCTTCATGAATTTTTTGTAGCATTTCTGCTTGCAGTGCCCTTGGAATAACTAGTTTGTTTCCCTTGAAAACTAGATCCCCAACTACAGTCAGTTCGTCACGAATATTCCAGAAATCTGGTACACAAGCTGGAACATCTTTCCTGTCAGACGACCAACCAATGAGAATGACAGATTTCAGTTGCTGTAGTTGTGGGTCATCTGCTGTGGCCAACTTGAATGTCTCCACTCGAGATGAAGTCAATGGTAGTTGTGATATAAAGTTCACATCAAACTCTGCCTCGTCGAACCAATTGTCATCAGCTCGGAGATATGCTCTGCTCTCAGCATCAGCAACGATAAATTCCTTACCAGGACGGTAAGTAACCTGTAGATCATATTTCTGCAGACGGAGCAAGATTCTCTGCAATCTTTGTGGAGCCTGGCACAAAGGTTTTCGGAAAACTGCTTCAAGTGGCTCGTGGTCTGTTTCTACACGGACAGGTTTTCCATATATATATATATTGATGGAATTTCTCACACCCATGCATGATTCCCAGCATCTCCTTCTCGATCTGTGCATATCTTTTCTGTGCACTTGTTAACGATCGTGATGCCAACGCAACTGGCTTTTCAGCTTGTATGAGCATTGCTCCTAGTCCTTCGCAACTGGCATCAGCTGACAATGTCACTGGTTGAGTGACATCGAAGTACTGAAGTACCGGAATGTTAGTCTCTTGTTTCTTCAAATTCTTGAAGCATTTTCTCTGGGGTTCTCCCCAGTGCCATGCAATGTCTTTTGACATCAGCTGACATTTTCACTGGTTAAGTGACATCGAAATACTGAAGTACCGGAGTGTTAGTCTCCTGTGTCTTCAAATTCTTGAAGCATTTTCTCTGGGGTTCTCCCCAGTGCCATGCAATGTCTTTTGACATCAGCTGACATTTTCACTGGTTGAGTGACATCGAAGTACTGAAGTACCGGAGTGTTAGTCTCCTGTGTCTTCAAATTCTTGAAGCATTTTCTCTGGGGTTCTCCCCAGTGCCATGCAATGTCTTTTGACATCAGCTGACATTTTCACTGGTTGAGTGACATCGAAATACTGAAGTACCGGAGTGTTAGTCTCCTGTGTCTTCAAATTCTTGAAGCATTTTCTCTGGGGTTCTCCCCAGTGCCATGCAATGTCTTTTGACATCAGCTGACATTTTCACTGGTTGAGTGACATCGAAGTACTGAAGTACCGGAGTGTTAGTCTCCTGTGTCTTCAAATTCTTGAAGCATTTTCTCTGGGGTTCTCCCCAGTGCCATGCAATGTCTTTTGACATCAGCTGACATTTTCACTGGTTGAGTGACATCGAAATACTGAAGTACCGGAGTGTTAGTCTCCTGTGTCTTCAAATTCTTGAAGCATTTTCTCTGGGGTTCTCCCCAGTGCCATGCAATGTCTTTTGACATCAGCTGACATTTTCACTGGTTGAGTGACATCGAAATACTGAAGTACCGGAGTGTTAGTCTCCTGTGTCTTCAAATTCTTGAAGCATTTTCTCTGGGGTTCTCCCCAGTGCCATGCAATGTCTTTTGACATCAGCTGACATTTTCACTGGTTGAGTGACATCGAAGTACTGAAGTACCGGAGTGTTAGTCTCCTGTGTCTTCAAATTCTTGAAGCATTTTCTCTGGGGTTCTCCCCAGTGCCATGCAATGTCTTTTGACATCAGCTGACATTTTCACTGGTTGAGTGACATCGAAATACTGAAGTACCGGAGTGTTAGTCTCCTGTGTCTTCAAATTCTTGAAGCATTTTCTCTGGGGTTCTCCCCAGTGCCATGCAATGTCTTTTGACATCAGCTGACATTTTCACTGGTTGAGTGACATCGAAGTACTGAAGTACCGGAGTGTTAGTCTCCTGTGTCTTCAAATTCTTGAAGCATTTTCTCTGGGGTTCTCCCCAGTGCCATGCAATGTCTTTTGACATCAGCTGACATTTTCACTGGTTGAGTGACATCGAAATACTGAAGTACCGGAGTGTTAGTCTCCTGTGTCTTCAAATTCTTGAAGCATTTTCTCTGGGGTTCTTCCCAGTGCCAAGCAATGTCTTCTGACATCAACTGACATTTTCACTGGTTGAGTGACATCGAAGTACTGAAGTACCGGAGTGTTAGTCTCTTGTTTCTTCAAATTCTTGAAGCATTTTCTCTGGGGTTCACTTTGCCAGTGCTTTGTTCGGTGATGTCATACGGTAGTAAACATTGTTGTACATATTTGGTAATTTCTTTGAGGTGAATTTTTTAAACTCGGCATCATGCGGGTTCTTTGATCTTATCTAGTTTGCACTATCATCATCGCCTTTGTGATCAACAGATGGCGGAAACGTTTTTAGGTTTAGGTGTAGGGTCACATTATTTGTGAATAGTAAGCAGTACGTCCGATGACGTCACTCATGACCGTTGTGTTATGTATTAATGCGCCACTGCGATTTTAAGGTCTGTAAGAAACAGATTACTAACCTCGTGCCTGTCAGATACCATTTATCTTTCAACTCGTTGTGAGATAAATGGTACCTAACAGGCACTCGTGTAGTAATCTCTATCTTTTGATACCAGTACCCAATGATGAACACAATAAAATACCATTAGTACCAATAAAGCACTTTGAGATCTGCTATTGCAACCGAAGGAATTTAAAAGAGGAAAACATTCTACTCAAAAGAAGTTACAAAACATTCGATTTGTTCATATGACTATAGTTGATCTCTAATGACTGGTGGGTATGCTACACACAGCCCAGTCTGTCTTACAGATCGTGAAACATAAATATCCAATACAGCCCATGCACGTCTATGATAATGGGCAAGTCTAGATTACTGCAGTTTCGGGTGAACAGTCTCTGGGCTCCTTTTTAATTATATATTATTAAGATAATTAATAATTGTTGTTTTTGTAATATTTTCAGAGACTACATGTATGTTAGTCTACACATAGCCTTCCACGTTTGTTCCACTTGTTGTAAGTAGTATATAACATACGGAATGACTGTCAAGTCAAGAGGTCCAAATCCATGACATTTGTGGACGTGAATGTTGATTTAGCTCCAAATGTTTGTTTGTTTGTTGTTTGACGCCGAACTCAGCAATATTGCAGCTATATGACGGCGGTCTGCAAATACTCGAGTCTGAACCAGACAATCCAGTGATTCACATCATGAGCATCGATCCAATCAATTGGGATACGATGACATGTATGAACCAAGTCAGCGAGCCTGACAACCCGATCCAGTTAGTCACCTTTTACGGCAAGCGGGGGCACGGGTGGCCCAGTCGTCTAAGGCGCCGTGATTCGCTGTGCAGAGTTGCGTGATACCCTAACCGACGTGAATCGATGACCTAGGGCATAAAAGATCAACGCCATGGGACTTACATGGCGGAGGAAGAGCAATATAGCAGCGGTTTTGTTTGACTGCGGTATGTTGCTTAATGCTGGGGGGCACGGGTGGCCCAGTCGTCTAAGGCGCCGCGATTCGCTGTGCAGAGTTGCGTCCCTTGGGTACGCCGGAAACCTATGATTGTGGGTTCGAATCCCGGTTCGCCCCGATTATATATCTAGGTTTGTCAGCAACATACCCATGCTCGTGGGTTTCACCGAAGTGCTAAACGTCTGAGACCTGCATCACTTCGGGTTTTCCTCCCACATTAAGCTGACACGCCGTGATATAACTGGAATACTGTTAAAAGCGGCGTAAACCCAACTCACTCACTCTCTGTCAATTCAGCGATATAGGCGCAATGCAGTGTACATATAGATACTTATGGTAAAAATATGAAACCGCACGAGTGATAAGAAACCGTTCATGTAGTCGTCACATTTAATGACACCTGCAGTTCATTACTCCCGGGTGAAAGCCTCAAAGCGCTACGTATTTGCGGAAATTGCATGCGGGTAGGATATTGGCGAGCCTTTGTCATCCATCCACCGCAGTGTAACTAAGACAATGTTTGGATATGTTTACTCTGGCTTGTAACAGCAGGCATTATGACGAGACAATGCATGGCAGTAGCGCCCAAACTGCAATCACATGAAATCATATGACCGGTACTTCAAAGATGGGCGTCCAAGATTGTTGGACTTGTATAGCGACGTGCATGCACGTGTGTGTGTGGCTTCTTGTACTAGTCCGGACTGATGCCGATTTTTATAGTGCTAGACCACTGAGATACCATGCCGCAGTTTAACATGAATACCCCGCTCAGGCACAGTGTACTGTCTCCGAGCCGACCAGTTCTTGTTTTAGCCATAATGCCGAGCGCCGGGCAGGGTAACAACAAGTACCATCGTTTAACGTCTTTTGGTATGACGCGACCTGGGAACGAACCTCAGACCTTTCGCTCTCCGGGGAGACGCTCTACCACGAGACCACGGAGGCGGTCCAATCTCACTGAAGTTTAATCTGATCCATTATTGTTGGAAATACATTCTGTCGCCCATGCCCATGTATGGATTTATCACTGTGTGATTAGACATGCAATAAGAGCGGGGCTTGCAAATCGTGGTTCATTGTGTCCTTCTTTCTTAATCGTTAATGTTATTCCCCATCTCCTATGAAACTGCATGAATGTGAAACTCGATCTTAAAGGTCACTACGAGCCGGCTTACACACAAATGGTTCTATATACCTTCACGAATGTTATATCGAGACTGTTATTGTTGTCTATTACTGACCCATGTGTTTCAAATTGTATTTTTTTTAAATCAATATTTTTATATTTTTATGAATGTATGAACTCGGTGGTTGCGTTCATTATAATCTGCATGTGGTAGTAATATCTGTGTTTAATCGTTTTTCACTTCTACATTTTGAAAATATCCAAAGGCTCGGGTGCCCTATCTGGCTTTGCTCTTCTTTGACTTTAATACTTTTTGGTAATCAGATGTTGGGTGCAAGAGTGGGTTGTATTTATCGCTGCTTTGAACAGTATTATATCATACTGTAATCCCATGACATACATTTCATGATCGCCGAACATTTGATATCTTTATACTGATTGTACGTGATCACCTTGAATGCACCAAATATTTATTTTGACTTTTTACATATAAACTAATTGCAATTTTCACACTTCGTTTATTCTCCTGTATTACTGAATAAACAAACTCCAGTAACATATGTCATTCTGGTTGTATGTCCATGTGAGTTTCATACGAGGGCTGGTCAAAAAGTTCTAAGCCTAACTTTCAACTATGGGCCACAAAGTGAACTAGTCAATGTAGTACATTGTTTGAGTAGTTCATTGCAAGTGTATTTGGTCTGTTGAAGCCGTTGTATATTAGTGACAGCCAGTGCGGGGGGTCCAAATGGACACAGAAAAGTACTCCCCAAGAAATTCATGACCGCATGTCACAAGTGTATAAGGATTAGTGCCCTAGCTATTCCACTGTTAAACGTTGGGCACCTATGTTTAAGGCGTGGGAACAATTAACTTTGATGATGACTCTAGGTCTGGACGTCCCTCATCTTTCATCAATGAAGATTCAATCAAGGATATTAAAAAAAAAGTTATACTGTCAGATAGACGTATTACCATTGGTGAACTTGAGGAAGACACAGGTCTTAGCCATGGATCCATTAAAACTATTATTTATGAACATTTACAGATGAATAGGATATCTGCACGTTGGGTGCCAAAGTTTCTAACTTCTGATATTAAGGAAAAGAGAACGGACAATGCAAGACAAAATTTAGAGCTAATTCAGGAGGATTTCGTCACATTTAGAAAGATATTAGTAACGGGTGATGAATCATGGGTTTACCACTATGACCCAGTGTCAAACGTCAATCCATGGAATGGCACCGTTCCACTTTCCGGCACCAACGAAATTCAAGTGTTCGAGATCAGTGAAGAAAGTTACGGCCACTGTATTCTTGGATGCAAAGAGTGTGATCCTTGTTGAGTACTTAGAAAGTCAAAGACGATAACCGGTGCCCAGCATGTTGCTTTGCTTCATCGCCTGAGAGATTTTATCAAAGAAAAGCGGCGAGGAATGCTAACTGCTGGAGTTATACAACTTCATGACAATGCCTCTTCTCACACCTCTCGACTTGCAAAGACTGCTGTGCGACAATGTGGGTTGAAAGAGCTCACCCTCCATACTCGCCAGATCTGGCACCAAGTGATTCCTACCTGTTTCCTGAACTGAAAGAATACCTTCGTGAAAAGCGCTATGACGACAACGATGACCTCAAAGCTGCCGTGAACGGGATTTTTAGGGTGGCCTCAGAAGACTTCTTCTTGAGTGGAATTGAAAAGCTTCACTATCAATATGAGAAGTGTATTGAAAAGCAGGGAGATTGTGTTGAAAAATGAATTAAAAACACTTTCACAATTGTTGGTTTTGTTTGTTAGGATAAGAACTTTTTGACCAGCCCATGTGAAAATATGAATCAATATTTGATACCAATTTGACGCGACCAGTAGAGGGCAGGTTGAGAAGCCATCTGCCCGCTCTCATCTATCCGACGATTACTGAGAAAACGTGCCTATTACGGGGAATTTGAATTCTAAATGAAGGAGATCAATGGCATCTTGTGCGTTTAACAACAGTGGAATTTGGATTTGCTGAAGTAGTTCAGTGTTATGCTTTTTAAAGGTTAAGCGAAGCGTGCGTGTGTGTGTGTTTGGCTGCTTGTGCTAGTCCGGACTTATGCACTCTAATGCTGCATTGTTTGACACATAGGATTACCCGATCTTCACTATTTTGCCGAGAAATCGTTAGTACTTTCTAAGACCTGTGTAATGATTTAAATAAGCAAATATCAGATCAAACCCTAGTAGTGAACAGCTATGCTTACAGACACAAATACAAGGCAAACCAAATACAAGATCTTTCCAGTAAAAGTGTCTCCAATATTGATGCTCCATTGACATATTGCAAACCTGTAACCTAACAGTACAGAGGGAGTGAGTATGTTTGGTTTTACGCCGCTTCTAGCAATATTCCATCAAAATCACGGCGGGGGACACCAGAAATGGGTTTCACACATTGTACCCATGTCGGGAATTGAACTCGGGTCTTCGGCACGATGAGCGAATAACAGTACAGACACAAACCCACTGAGTATCGAAACAAGTGAAATGCTCAATCGCCCGGATATATTACCGATATACTATGAAACAGACAACTAGTCTAAAGAAACTTTTAACCATGTCAATTTAAAATAAAGAATCTGCAACAAATACACTCAGTCCACAGCAGTTCAAGTTTTGCGAACATTTTGTGATGTTACAGTTGTGAAACTATTAAAAATAAAAGTACATCCTTGTATATTAAGGTGATTTTTCATTCCTTACATCTGTTGCGTAATTCTCAGAAGTTTGGATTGAAATTGTTTGAATGATTTCACGTCACATTATCAGATCAATGTTTCGATATTTCTTTTATACATGTAACACTTTTCTAATATTTACATCATCAACAAGAAATATTGAGAAATAGTTTCTTTAATTAATTTGAATTTACAAAGCAGTCGTATGTACTACATGTACTGAAAAGAGGCGGCGGTCATTTGATCACTGTTCTACCGCACGCACACGACCTATTCGTAACAACTCGTGTCATTCCGGCAAGCCGAATCCAGGATACGGTAAAAGTCGAGTTATGATGGCACACGACCCTTCTCGCCACATTCGTGACCAACTCGTCTTATTCAGGGACAAGCCGAATAGCGACTCGTGCCCCTCTCATGGCCATTTTTGCGACCGGGTTCCGTCTTAGCGCAAAAGGGCATACCTAAAACAATTGTCAACTCTTTGCGTAATGGTTCACATATATTTCCCCATATATTATATTTATTTCAGATGCAATTTTTAAAGCACATCTGGGGCCACGGGTTGCCCAGTCGTCTAAGGCGCCGCGATTCGCTGTGCAGAGTTGCGTCTCTTGTGCACGCCAGAAACCTATGATTGTGGGTTCGAATCCCGGTTCGCCCCGATTATGTTTCTAGGTTTGTCAGCACCATACCCGTGCTCGTGGATTTCACCGAAGTGGGGATGTCTGAGACCTGCATAACTTCGGGCTTTCCTCCCACATTAAGCTGACACGCCGCGATATAACTGGAATAATGTTAAAAGCGGCGTTAAACCCAACTCATTCACTCACTAAAGCACATCTGGACATGCGGAATTATACAGTATGATTGAACACGATTAACTGTGTCTTGGGTAT